TTTTTGAGGACATTTTGGTCAGAGGCTGAGCACCTATTCTATGAAAAAGTTGTTCTAAGCACATTTTCTATAGAAAAGTTCATCAGAGTCTGACGAAATTTTGTATAGAAAAGTTGGTCATAGTCTGAGCAAGTAATATTGAGGATTATAGAAGCAAAAGCAGCTATCTCCGTTTTATAATGAATAAAGTAGATATTTTTAAGGAAATTTTGATTAGAGGCTGAGCAGGTTTTCGATGGAAAAGTTGTTCTGAGAACATTTCTATAGAAAAGTTGATCAGATTCTGACGAAATTTTGTATAGAAAATTTGGCCAAAATCTGAGCATGTTTGTTATAGAAAAGTTGGTCATAGTCTGAGCAACTTTTCAATAGAAAAGTTTGTCAGAGTCTGAGCATCTTTTCTATAGAAGAGTTGGTCAGAGTTTGAGCATATTTGCTATAGAAAAGTCGGTCAGAGTCTGAGCACATTTTCCTATAGAAAAGTCGGTCAGAGTCTGATCATATTTGTTATAGAAATGTTGGTCAGAGTCTGAGCATATTTGTTATAGAAAAGTTGTTCACAGTCTGAGCAAATTTTCTATAGAAAAATTGTTCACAGTCTGAGCATATTTTCCATAAAAAAGTTGTTCAAAGTCTTTGTTATAGAAAAGTTGGTCAGAGTCAGAGCATATTTTTTATAGAAATGTCGGTCAGAGTCTGAGCATATTTTCTATAGAAGAGTTGGATTTATGTAGAGATTTGATCAGTGTGTGAGCTGGTATTATGAACTTGATTTCTATAGGAAACTTGTTCAGAGTGTGAGTCAGTTTCCTTCAGAAAATTTGCTTAAACTAAGTGCATGTTTCCTATAGAAAACAAACACTTAGTTTGTAGTGATGTATACAGGTAATGAGCTATTTTTTTATTAAGCTCTTTTCAGTATTAAATTTTCTCATTTAATGAGATAATTTTTATAGAAATTTTTCTATAGAAAATTTGCACAGATAATGAACAAGTTTTCTATAGAAAAATTTCTCTACAATAAGCTTGTTTTCTATGGAAAATTTGCTCAGTTAATAAGCCACTTTTCTGTAGAAAATTTACTCAGTTAATGAGCCAGGTTTCTATAGAAAATTTACTCAGTTAATGAGCTTGTTTTCTATGGAAAGTTTTCACAGTTAATGAGCCTTTTCTCTACAGAAAATTTGCTTTGTTAATGAGAATGTTTTCTATGGAAAATTTGTCCAGTTAATAAGCTTTTTCTCTATAGACATTTTGCTCAATTAATATGCCTATTCTCTATAGAAAATTAGTTTAGTTAATGTAAAAAATTTGCTCAGTTAATGAGCTAGTTTTCAATAGAAAATTTTCTTTGAAAAATATTGTTATATGCGAGCAGGGAATAGACCTATTGTATAACTCATATTAATACATTAACTTTAAAAAGTGTTAATACCATTTATCTTCAAAACATTTTGTTAATTACCTCTTAATCTCTTTCATTTATTAAACATTATTTTCTTTAAGAAATTATTTATTTATGAAACTTATCTTTTATGAAATTTTATAATTTTTATTAATTGATGTTTGTTGTTTACAAATTTCTAATGCACTTTTCTTTTTTTTTTTGCTACTTTCCAACTTGTTGTTTTATCATACAAATAGTTGTATTAACGCAATAATTTAGCTAAAATGTGCTAAACTAACTAATGATTATATACGTTTTATTAAATAAACCACCATAAAAAACTATAAACTGTATTAAAACACGCAAGTCTGTATGTGTTTTATTACTTGGTTTTAATTTTATTAAATTCTTTTCGGTTGAAGTTTGATTTGTATTAGTGTTGAAGTATACGTTTTGCGTAAGATTGATATTTTGGTCTTAAAGTCGACCAAGCAAGACGCCCTATTGGTGTAGCATGCCAATTGGCATGAAATATGGAATTAAGTTGACTCACTATGACAGAGTAAAAGAGATAAGTGTTGGCAGTATAATATGCCTATAGTAATAACTATGACTATCTGCAAAAGTTCTCTTAGTTATTGAGTTGTTATAGCGCCTTTCACATTCGTTAAATTCTTTTTCTTTTTTTTTACTTATTGAGTGTGAAACTGTTGTATAAAAATTATGATTTTTTTGTTAGTTTTTTATTCATATAAAAACATAAACATAATTTATAATACAGGCTGTCAGAAAAAGTGATGTTGTTACAATATTTATGAATTTATGATTTTCTTCATTTACTAACTTGCTGTTACTTTATTTTGTTTAGGCGTTATTTTTCAATTTATTTATTTTTTGCTTTATCAAGTTCAAGGTGAATTCTTGCAAGTAATATTGAGGATTATAGAAGCAAAGGTAGTTATCTCCATTTTATAATGAATAAAATAGATATTTTTGAGGAATTTTTGGTTAGACGTTGACCACGTTTTCTATGGAAAAGGTAATCAGAGTCTGAACATATTTTCTATAGAAAAGTTGGTCAGAGTCTGAGCCCATATTCTATAGAAGAGTTGGTCAGAGTCTAAGCATATTTTCTATAGAAAAGTAGGTTAGAGTGTAAGCAAATTTTCTATAGAAAAGTTGGTCAGAGTCTGGGCATATTTTCTATAGAAAAATTGTTCACAGTCTGAACATATTTTCTATAGGAATCTTAGTCAAAGCCTGGGATTATTTTCTATATAAAAGTTGGTTTTAGTCTGAGCATATTTTATATAGAAATGTTGGTCAAAGTCTGAGCGTATTTGCTATAGAATTGTTGGTCAGATTCTGAGCACATATCCTATAGAAAAGTTAATCAGAGTCTGAGCATGTTTTCTATAGAAAAGTTGGTCAAAGTCTGAGCATATTTGTTATAGAAAAGTTGGTCAGATTCTGATCATATTTTCTATAGAGAAGCTGGTCAGAATCTGACCATATTTTGTATAGAAGAGTTGGTCGTAGTCTGTGCATATTTGTTATAGAAAAGTTGGTCAGATTTAGAGCATATTTTCTGTAGAAAAGTTGGTCGGAATCAGAGCACATTTTCTATAGAAAAGTTGCTTACTGTCTGGTCACATATTCTATAGAAAAATTGTTCACAGTCTGAGCATATTTTCTATAGGAATCTTAGTCAAAGCCTGAGCATATTTTCTATATGAAAGTTGGTTATAGTCTGAGCACATTTGCTATAGAATAGTTGTTCAGAGTCTGAGCATATTTACTATAGAATAGTTGTTCAGAGTCTGAGCACATTTTCTATAGAAAAGTTGTTTACAGTCTAAGCATATTTTCTATAGAAATGTTGGTTAGAGTCTGGTCACATATTCCATTAAAAATTTTTTTACAGTCTGAGCATATTTTCTATAGGAATCTTTGTAAAAGCCTGAGCATGTTTTCTACAGAAAAGTTGGTCAGAGCCTGTGCAAATTTTCTATAGAAAAGTTAATCAGAGTCTGAGCAAATTTTCTATAAAAAGTTGTTTAGAGTCCGAGCATATTTTTTTATAGAAAAGTTGGACAGAATCGGAGCATATTTTCTATAGAAAAGTTGGTCAAAGTCTGAGCATATTTTCTATAGAAAATTTGGTAAGAGTCTGTGCAAATTTTCTATAGAAAAGTTGGTCAGAGTCTGAGCACATTTTCTATAGAAAAGTTGGTCAGAGTCTGAGCAAATTTTCTATAGAAAAGTTGGTCAGAGTCTGAGCAAATTTTCTATAGAAAAGTTGGTCAGAGTCTGAGCAAATTTTCTATAGAAAAGTTGGTCAGAGTCTGAGCACATTTTCTATAGAAAAGTTAGTCAGAGTCTGAGCACATTTTCTATAGAAAAGTTGGTTAGAGTCTGAGCACATTTTCTATAGAATAGTTGGTCAGAGTCTGAGCTCACTTTCTACAGAAAAGTTGGAGGGAGTCGGAGTTGGACAGAGTTGGAGCATATTTTTCATACAAATGGTTGTCAGATTCTGAGCAATTTTTTTTTATGGAAAAGTGGGTCGACGTATGAGCAAATGTTCTGTAGAAAAGGTGTTCAGAAAAGCATTAAATTTTCGATTAATAGTCGATCAGAATCTATTTGTTCAAACTGATTTAAAGATTTCGTCAATCCTTATGCTGGTAAATATCTACATCCTTGTATCATTGGCAGTTTTTTTAAATTTATTAAAAAAAATTCAAAAATATAAAGATATCTTCTTTTGTTTCTAAAGCATTAAATTTGTAATCTGTTAGGGAAAATACATACTCTTTCCGTAAAATTAAAAGCTGAAAAACATATCTTTTGTTTTAGCGAAAAACTTTAGATTGCAAAAAGGGGGAGAATTAATAACAAAAGTAATTTTTAGTAATAATTAGGGGAACAGATTGTGTAATTAAAGTGTTACAAAGCAGACACAAATAAAATATAGAGATGAAAATAAAAGAAAAGAATTACTAATTTAAGCAATTACTTCTGATTGTAAGACTGTCGGTATACAATTTATTAAATTATAAAAAAAAAAAATAAAAAAATTATAAAATACTGTTGTACAAATAATAAAAACTTTTAATAATCTAAAACTAAAAATTACAATATTTTTACCACACAATAGAACAATTTCAATAAATTTAAGAAAATATAAAAAGTTTTTTTTTATTATTCGACAAATGATATGCATTGTAGGTATAATATAATTTTGTTCACAAAAGTCTTCAAATTCATAATGTGGCCTTTATTTTATAATCATCATCATTTTCATTTAACAAGTATTTGTTCATACATACATACCTTCATATCAAATGTTTACCTTGTTCTTCTAGCTAAAATTACCCAGATTTGTTGCTAATAAAAAGAAGCAATAGCAACAACAGCAAACAAAAATCTTTAGAAATTTAAACACAATAGTTTAAGAAATAAGAACCCAGTACAATAAAAACAAGAAAAATCCAAAAATTTTCCAAGAATTTAAAACTAAAATTCAAGACAATATTATTTTACTTTTTATTTTTTCTCCTATATATATCTATTTCTTCTTAAACTAATATCCATTTTTGTTTGTTTTCAGCAGCTCCATTCGGAGTATAGGAGCACTTATCGTTGGCATGAGTTTACTGGTAATTCAAGGCCAGAAGTGGTACGACGCGCACCAGCGCCAAATCCAAGTCAATTTGTGGGTAAGTTTAACACTTAATTATAAAGTGGTATGTTTAAATATTTGATTGCTTTGATTTTGTTTGATTTTTTGTTTGCTTATTGATTTAAAGGCAAACTTTTTAACTTTTGATTTTTGCTTTCTATTTTTAGGTCCCACAAATGAACCACCATTGCCACGTAGAAAAAAGTGTCCAGAATTAGCGTATAAATCGCATGAATTTATTATAGGTTCCGAATATACAGATGCACGTAACAATGCTGCAAATCGTATGGCCAGGGTAAGTTTGAGCAATATTTAATAGAAGGGGTTGAAGCTACAACAACACCATTAAATTTTATATAAAGAAATTGGTTAAATACATATACTATAGACTAGACTATAGACTAGACTATAGACTAGACTATAGACTAGACTATAAACTAGACTATAGACTAGACTATAGACTAGACTATAGACTAGACTATAGACGAGACTATAGACTAGACTATAGACTAGACTATAGACTAGACTATAGACTAGACTATAGACTAGACTATAGACTAGACTATAGACTAGACTATAGACTAGACTATAGACTAGACTATAGACTAGACATAGACTAGACTATAGAGACTATAGACTAGACTATAGCCTAGACTATAGACTAGACTATAGACTAGACTATAGACGAGACTATAGACTAGACTTAGACTAGACTATAGACTAGACTATAGACGAGACTATAGACTAGACTAGAGACTAGACCTGTAGACTAGACTATAGATAGACTATAGACTAGACTATAGACTAGACTATAGACGAGACTATAGACTAGACTATGACGAGACTATAGACTAGACTATAGACTAGACTATAGACGAGACTATAGACCGACTATAGACTAGACTATAGACTAGACTAGATAGACTAGACTATACTAGACTTAGACTAGACTATAGACTAGACTATAGACTAGACTATAGACTAGACTATAGAACTAGACTAGAGAGACTAGACTATAGACTAGACTATAGACTAGACTATAGACTAGACTATAGACTAGACTATAGACAGACGTATAGACTATAGACTAGACTATAGACTAGACTATAGACTAGACTATAGACTATGACTATAGACTAGACTATAGACTAGACTATAGACTAGAACTATAGACTAGACTATAGACTAGACTATAGACTAACTATAGACTAGACTATAGACTAGACTATAGACTAGACTATAGACTAGACTATGACTAGACTATAGACTAGACTATAGACTAGACTATAGACTAGACTATAGACTAGACTATAGACTAGACTATAGACTAGACTATAGACTAGACTATAGACTAGACTATAGACTAGACTATAGACTAGACTATAGACTAGAACTATAGACTAGACTATAGACTAGACTATAGACTAGACTATAGACTAGACTATAGACTAGACTATAGACTGACTATAGACTAGACTATAGACTAGACTATAGACTAGACTATAGACTAGACTATAGACTAGACTATAGACTAGACTATAGACTAGACTATAGACTAGACTATAGACGAGACTAGAGACTAGACTATAGACTAGACTATAGACGAGACTATAGACTAGACTATAGACTAGACTATAGACTAGACTATAGACTAGACTATAGACTAGACTATAGACTAGACTATAGACTAGACTATAGACTAGACTATAGACTAGACTATAGACTAGACTATAGATACTAGACGAGACTATAGCTAGACTATAGACTAGACTATAGACTAGACTACTAGACTATAGACTAGACTATAGACTAGACTATAGACTAGACTATAGACTAGACTATAGACTAGACTATAGACTAGACTATAGACGAGACTATAGACTAGACTATAGACTAGACTATAGACTAGACTATAGACGAGACTATAGACTAGACTATAGACTAGACTATAGACTAGACTATAGACTAGACTATAGACTAGACTATAGACTAGACTATAGACTAGACTATAGACTAGACTATAGACTAGACTATAGACTAGACTATAGACTAGACTATAGACTAGACTATAGACTAGACTATAGACTAGACTATAGACTAGACTATAGACTAGACTATAGACTAGACTATAGACTAGACTATAGACTAGACTATAGACTAGACTATAGACTAGACTATAGACTAGACTATAGACTAGACTATAGACTAGACTATAGACTAGACTATAGACTAGACTATAGACTAGACTATAGACTAGACTATAGACTAGACTATAGACTAGACTATAGACTAGACTATAGACTAGACTATAGACTAGACTATAGACTAGACTATAGACTAGACTATAGACTAGACTATAGACTAGACTATAGACTAGACTATAGACTAGACTATAGACTAGACTATAGACTAGACTATAGACTAGACTATAGACTAGACTATAGACTAGACTATAGACTAGACTATAGACTAGACTATAGACTAGACTATAGACTAGACTATAGACTAGACTATAGACTAGACTATAGACTAGACTATAGACTAGACTATAGACTAGACTATAGACTAGACTATAGACTAGACTATAGACTATACTATAGACTAGACTATAGACTAGACTATAGACTAGACTATAGACTAGACTATAGACTAGACTATAGACTAGACTATAGACTAGACTATAGACTAGACTATAGACTAGACTATAGACTAGACTAGACTAGACTATAGACTAGACTATAGACTAGACTATAGACTAGACTATAGACTAGACTATAGACTAGACTATAGACTAGACTATAGACTAGACTATAGACTAGACTATAGACTAGACTATATAGACTAGACTATAGACTAGACTATAGACTAGACTATAGACTAGACTATAGACTAGACTATAGACTAGACTATAGACTAGACTATAGACTAGACTATAGACTAGACTATAGACTAGATTATAGACTAGACTATAGACTAGACTATAGACTAGATTATAGACTAGACTATAGACTAGACTATAGACTAGACTATAGACTAGACTATAGACTAGACTATAGACTAGACTATAGACTAGACTATAGACTAGACTATAGACTAGACTATAGACTAGACTATAGACTAGACTATAGACTAGACTATAGACTAGACTATAGACTAGACTATAGACTAGACTATAGACTAGACTATAGACTAGACTATAGACTAGACTATAGACTAGACTATAGACTAGACTATAGACTAGACTATAGACTAGACTATAGACTAGACTATAGACTAGACTATAGACTAGACTATAGACTAGACTATAGACTAGACTATAGACTAGACTATAGACTAGACTATAGACTAGACTATAGACTAGACTATAGACTAGACTATACTATAGACTAGACTATAGACTAAGACTATAGACTAGACTATAGACTAAGACCTATAGACTTAGACTATAGACTAGACTATAGACTAGACTATAGACTAGGACCTATAGACTAGACTATAGACTAGACTATAGACTAGACTATAGACTAGACTATAGACTAGACTATAGACTAGACTCTAGACTAGACTATAGACTACTATAGACTAGACCTATACTAGACTTATAGACTAGACTAGACGATACTAGACTATAGACTAGACTAGAGACTAGACTATAGACTAGACTATAGACTAGACTATATACTAGACTATAGACTAGACTATAGACTAAGACGACTATAGACTAGACTATAGACTAGACTATAGACTAGACTATAGACTAGACTATAGACTAGACTATAGACTGTGTTATTGACTAGAGTCTTGGCTAGAATGCAGACTATATTATCACTACATTGCGACTAGAATTAAAGTTTTCTGTTATTTAAAAATGGATTTAGTGTAAAAACATTTCCTGTTTGGGTGAATTCAATGTGCATTTTCCACATCTTAGTGTTTGATGTCAACTTCATTGTAAAATATAGTATTTTATGACAAAGTAAGATTTTCATCATCTTTGGAAAAAAATCTGCCGAAATCTTTTTAAAAAAATTCATAAAGCGGTTGTAAAACCTTTGTGCGCAAAGGATCATTTATCCTCTTATAGTTGCTTTTTGCTGAAAAAATATAAATTTGTTGGTTAAAATTCTTTAAAATTTGTCGTAATATTATTTTTAGAAGGATATGAACAGCAAAATGTTAAAGACGATGAACAAGGAAAAAAATAAAACTTATTGTTGTTTTAAAATCCATTTTTATCCTCATTGTTGTTCTTAAAATATTTATAATATGAAAATAAAAAGCTTTTTATGATTTGTTTTATTTTTTGTTCTTCTAAGCCATCACTATTCTTTGTTTTTGTTGCTGTTCATATAAATTTATTGTTTTTATTGTTTCGTCATATTTTCCGCTTTTCAGCCGTATGTCCTTTTAGCTGTTGGCAATTCAAGATTTTTTTCGTTGTATTTCCACGTATGAATTGTGTGTATGTGAGTGGCATGAATGCATTTGAAATGATGCCACAGGAAAGACTTGTTTTTTTATATGCAGTAGACTTTTTCTCTTACTTGCATACATTCAATTCATAGATTTGGAGGACCTTTTCTGTTGATTATTATTATTTTTTTTTATTTTTGATGTAAAGCAAAGTAGTCAGCAGCAGAGTTCTTATCGATTTGATAAGAAAAGTTTGTTAGATGATGTTAAAAGTTATTTTAATGGACGTAAATAGTGTTATGAAAGGCTTATATATGAAAAAAAAAATACTTTTTTCAAGCTAGTGGGGAAGAAGGATTTTTGTTATTCGCAGTTTCAAACAGTTATTTTAATTCCAATAAAATTGTGAGTATATTGCACTCTTAAGAACCGAAACTATATATTAGCATTACATATATTATGTTTGTAATTACATGTACAACTGCACATAGTTTATAATTAATAAACAAATGCCAATGTTTTTTAGTTTTTAAACTTTAAAATTATGGAATTTTGTTTTTCATAAAATCATCTACTATTTTGTCCTTGTTTAGAGCGTGCACGAAAAAAAGTTTACCTTAAACCTTTTCATATAATGTCGTTTTGTTTTAACAATATTCACACATTTGGGTCTTACAAAGGGGCGGCAGGGTGCATTTAAATGCCCACAAGCGTAGGCTGGGTTTATTATACTAGTATAACGAGTACACATACCTTTTTAACCATTGGTAAATATTTTCAAAATATATTCTTTTTTTTATTTATTTTTGTTTAACATTTTGTTGAAAATGTATGCCTTGTTAACACTTAAAGGACACCTATGTATGCATATAAGTACATACATATGTATGTGCATGTATCCTTACAAACAAATAAGTATAAATAAGCTCTTACATGTACACATAAAAAACATATGTACTTACCCTGCAGTTCGTGGTAGATGTCTCGATACAACGATTTCAGCTAATACTAATGACTAGACTATGGCTAGACTATGACTAGACTAGGACTAGATAGACTATGACTAGATAGACTATGACTAACTAGACTATGACTAGATATACTATGACTAGATATACTATAACTAGATAGACTATGACTAAAAAGTCTATGACTAGATAGACTATGACTAGATAGACTATGACTAGATAGACTATGACTAGATAGACTATGACTATATAGACTATGACTAGATAGACTATGACTAGATAGACAATGACTAGATAGACTATGACTAGATAGACTATGACTAGACAGACTATGACTAGATAGACTATGACTAGATAGACTATGACTAGATAGACTATGACTAGACTATGACTAGACTATGACTAGATAGACTATGACTAGATAGACTATGACTAGATAGACTATGACTATTTAGACTATGACTAGACTATGACTAGATAGACTATGACTAGATAGACTATGACTAGATAGACTATGACTAGATAGACTATGACTAGATAGACTATGACTAACTAGACTATGACTAACTAGACTATGACTAGATATACTATGACTAGATATACTATAACTAGATAGACTATTACTAGATAGACTATGACTAGATAGACTATGACTAGATAGACTATGACTAGATAGACTATGACTAGATAGACTATGACTAGATAGACTATGACTAGATAGAGTATGACTAGATAGACTATGACTAGACAGACTATGACTAGATAGACTATACTGATAGACTATGACTAGATAGACTATGACTAGATAGACTATGACTAGATAGACTATGACTAGATAGACTATGACTAGACTATGACTAGACTATGACTAGATATGACTATATGAACTAGACTATGACTAGACTATGACTAGACTATGACTAGACTATGACTAGACTATGACTAGACTATACTAGACTATGACTAGACTATGACTAGACTATGACTAGACTATACTAGACTATGACTAGACTATGACTAGACTATGACTAGACTATGACTAGACTATGACTAGACTATGACTAGACTATGACTAGACTATGACTAGACTATGACTAGACTATGACTAGACTAGACTAGACTATGACTAGACTATGACTAGACTATGACTAGACTATGACTAGACTATGACTAGACTATGACTAGACTATGACTAGACTATGACTAGACTATGACTAGACTATGACTAGACTATGACTAGACTATGACTAGACTATGAACTAGACTATGACTAGACTATGACTAGACTATGACTAGACTATGACTAGACTATGACTGACTATGACTAGACTAGATGACTATGACTAGGGACTATGACTAGACTATGACTAGACTATGACTAGACTATGACTAGACTATTACTAGACTAGACTAGACTATGACTATGCTAGACTATGACTAGACTATGACTAGACTATGACTAGACTATGACTAGACTATGACTAGACTATGACTAGACTATGACTAACTAGACTAGCTATGAACTAACTATGACTAGACTATGACTAGACTATGACTAGACTATGACTAGACTGAGCTAACTATGACTAGACTATGACTAGACTATGACTAGACTATGACTAGACTATGACTAGACTATGACTAGGACTATGACTAGACTATGACTAGAGCTATGACTAGACTATGACTAGGACTATGACTAGACTATGACTAGACTATGACTAGACTATGACTAGACTAGACTATGACTAGACTATGACTAGACTATGACTAGACTATGACTAGACTATGACTATGACTAGACTATGACTAGACTATGACTAGACTATGACTAGACTATGACTAGACTATGACTAGACTATGACTAGACTATGACTAGACTATGACTAGACTATGACTAGACTATGACTAGACTATGACTAGACTATGACTAGACTATGACTAGACTATGACTAGACTATGACTAGACTATGACTAGACTATGACTAGACTATGACTAGACTATGACTAGACTATGACTAGACTATGACTAGACTATGACTAGACTATGACTAGACTATGACTAGACTATGACTAGACTATGACTAGACTATGACTGGTATAGTACAAAATGACGAACAAAATCATAAAATAAATTCGAGAACAACAAATAAAACTGCTGGGTATATTTACATACATATGTAGTGGTATGTACTTATGTAAGTGTGGGCGGTTGGGTTGTTTTGAAAAAGAAAACTTTATTTTCCAAAAGCAATTTGTTGAAGGCATGTTAATGCTATACTTAACATTATGAATGAACAAATAACGTAAATAACAAAACTAAAATAAAAGCAGCAAAAAGGCTAATTTGTTAAGAGCTGGCTAACAATATGTTGTTGTTGTTGTTGCTGCTGCTGATGTCGTTGCTTAAATACTTGACAATTTAAATTTAATATTATTTAAAATATATTTAAATATTTCATTTTAGTCGGAAGAACGTAATGGTACACCATCAAGGCGCAGCAAATCAGAGGGTCCTCCAGCTGTGCCCAACGGTCGGGCTTATGCAATTCCCACGGAAGTTGATGGACCGGAAACTAAACAGGTATGTTAACGTACATTCAGCATGCGAAAACAAAATAAAAACAGTATGTATTTAAAAAGAAATAAAAAATAATTTAAATAAAAAAAAAACAAAAATTATAAAAAATAATCAGAAAATAAAATTATAAGTGTGTTTGTAGTATCGTATGTGTGTGTGAGTGTGAAATTTAAAACATGGTTTAAATTAAGTGTTTAAGTTAAATTATTTACAATTAAAATTAAATCTTAATAAAGAAATGAATAAACAAATAATGCTATTATGAAAATCTTTATGTTATATGTTGTTCTGTTTTCGTTTTATTTTATTTGTTTCAAGAAAAATTTAATTTAGAAAGAATTAAAAAAAAAATTAATTACAAAAATTTATCATGCATGATCAAAAAACTTGAGATTAAAGCAAGTATTTATTGGTTTGTTTTTTTATTATATACTATACTATTTCTTACAATTTTTAAAAAAATATTTTGTGTTTTTTTATAATTTTTTTTTTGCAAATTTTTATTGTATATTAAGGAATTTCTATTATTAAAAGTAAAAACTTTAATAAACTGTTATGATATCTTTAAATGTTCATGTAAAGTTTTATTATATAGTTTTATTAACATTCTGTAAATTCTGATTCGAATTTCTGGTTCCAAGCCAAATAACTGCAAATTTACTAAAAATTACTTCAGCTCTTATTATTTCAATTTTCCTTAGAATTATAAAAAAGTGTCGCTTTACTGACTGACTAATTCATCATCGCACAGCCCAAACGGCCTAGAATCATAAAATTTTTGATGTGTTTTTAGTTATTTAGATCCACTAAGGAGGGATTTTTGGAAATTTGTACATTTTTGGGTAAAAAAGGGGAAAAACGGGTAAAATAAGTTTTCTTAATTATCTTACCTAATATTAGTGATACAAGAACAATTTTAAATGCACCTGTATCTACTCTTAAAATAAGCAGATGGGTGTCTGGTACTTTTTTGAAATTCTTACTTTTAAGGGGTGAAAATGTATAACAAAGGTGATTTGGTACTTTTTTTGGACCATTATAACTTTTTAACTATTAAACATAATACAAATTTTGTAAATATTTTGAATATATCTTCCAAAATAATGAGATACCTATTTCGTACTTTTTTTCAAATTCAGTCCTTTTTGGGTGTAAAAGGGAGAAAACTGTATTTTTGGTACTTTTTTTTAGCACATTAAGAACATTTTTTCGATTTATTGACATATACCTATTAAATTACGTACTAAATCTGTAATTTTTATTGACAAACAAAATATTTGCTATTTCACTGGAGAAAAAAGTACCAAAAAGGGGAAAACGGGAAATTAAATTTATACAAACTCATTGAGCCTTTTTTTTTTTTATAAAATTTGAAAAAATAGTTAATTTACTCACACAAAACATTTATGGAATTCGAGTATAAAGCCCTCTGTATGACCAAATTCGGGTAAATTGTTTGGTACTTTTTGAAAGCACAATTTCTCTGGAACAAATGAATACAAATTTGAAGCGTTTGAGTTTTATCTGTGATATATAGATTTAAGCACAGAATATTTACTAAATTTAATACTTTGAGTATTAAATTTAGTAAATATTCTAAAAGTCTATTCCTAGACGAAAAAGGGGAAAATGGTACTTTTTTAGTACTTTCCACAAAGGTAGAATTTATTTCACTTTTAGTACTTTTTCTTTCTCCCAATGATGCTGTTTGTATGTTATATGTCATGAATCCAAAATATATGATTATTAAACATACACGGTCCTTTTTGAATAAAATTCTTTAAAAGAGAAATTTTTAGTACTTTTTATCTCATAAATTGTACTTTTTTAATTTTCTAAAATATTCAACTTAGAAACGTAAATTTTGTACATACATTGTCTTGACTGAATCTGTAAGTGAGGACTCTTTGCTACTTCTCCATTCTTCAAATGGTACCTTTTGGATTCTCTAAAATGGGGAACCGGAACACATGACACAGGATCCTTATTAAAGGAGACTTTTGTATATTTTCGTTTTCCAGCCCCTGGGGTATTGCAGCAACCATAAAAACGTGAAATCTCATTCACAGTTTTCATTTGTGTATATACTTCATACTTTAGGCCCTTTTCATAAGAGTTTCCTCGTTCATTTAAAGGGCAGACGGACAGACGGATGGTTATTGTCAGTTATTCTTAAATTTTTATAAGGTTTGAGTAAATCTAAAATTGACTAGTTTCTTAAAGTTTTTACTGTAATTTATTTTAATTTTTCTTTATTATTTCATTCAAATATTTAATATTTTCAATAAATATTTCTTCTTTATATTATAACACTTGCATTATTTTCGTTCTTTTTTTTCTTACATACACATATTGATCTTTATGTTCTGAATATATGTATGTACTTTTACATACATACATACATTATGTGCATATAAATATACTCATTGAGTTTATACATACATATACTAAACATGTTTTTATATACATATGTATGAGTAAAAAGCATTTGACCAATACATTGTATATTTGTTGATTATAGATTATAAGGAGGTTTATGACTTTCAAGTGGTTTTTTTATAACACTCGATTTTTATGTTCTTGTTAGATTTTCTTCTATATAATTTTTTTGTTTTCTTTGTTGTTTTTTTCACAATTTTATTTTTTTCTTATATTTATTTTTGAGCTTAGACTAGCAATCTGTATTTTGTATAAATTTTTTTTTCTATTCAACTTTTCTTTTTCTACTACTTTATACTGCTTGTACTTCTTCTGCTATTTGTTCTCCTTTCGTTACCGATTTTTTTCCATTACAAAATTTAAAATGTTATCATACTTAGTCAGTGTAAGAGTTGTAGAGAAAATGTATTTGTTTTTTGTCTACACCACTACACTTTGGTGGGTGTATTATAGGTTTTTGTTGATGTTTGTGCAACAGAAAAATAATCACTTCCTCAGTCCCTCCATTTGTCTATTCTACTCGTTTTATTTATATTTATCTTGTATCCGTCCTTCTGTCTAAATGTCTGTTATATTTTTAATCAAAATATAGGTCGAAATATTGAATAAAACTTTTTAGAATTTTGGTACTAAACTATCCTATAGCTTGTAGTTAAAACTGTATAATAAACTCATTCAAATACATCAGCTTTTGTTTTTGTATTTCTATATTAATTACCGTCTGTCTTTCTGTCTATCTATCGCCCCCCGGGGCATGTTTCTTTGAAGAAAAACTACATCTTGGTGTATTGCAATCCCGGGGTGTAGTGGTGTTACCAATACCTCTAGTCTGCCATGACTATAAACTGGTGATGATCAGATGTATCCTCGGCCTTTCCTTGGAATGATTTGACATGGGGTCTAACTAGAGTAACATCTAATCTGGTACTACGGGTGGACGGTTGCCCACAGGACCTAGTCCTGATCGGTCAATTGATTGCGTTTCCATCGGGATCCACGTAGTGGCTGTAATTTATACCCAAATTCGCAGGGAGAGATATATCCAAACGCCAAATATGTCTGGATTCTCTCTCCGGTGCTGTTGCCATCTCAACAGATGTCACTGGGTGATGTGACAGAGCAACTTATGCTGGATTCCTGAACCCGTTGAGTATCTCTTACTCTTCGCGTAGTAGGGCGCCAGTATATATTGGAATTTTCAGGATGACACTTGGTAGTTGCCTGTCATTCGTTCTTTATGGTCTGAGAATGGAACTGATGTAATTGGTGAACGATCGGGAAATACATCTTGCCTTACAGGAGACTAGTACTGATTTAGTAGACCTTTTACTTCAGGGAAATTCTCGGTGATGTTGCCATCTCAACAGGATTCATATTGTTTAATGCTACGCGACTTATGGTTGTCTGGGCAATTATTGGGTTCGAATTGACTGTGGATAGTTCTACATCCTTTGTCGCATTATCTGACATATAGAGGGATTTATTGGCTGGATATTTCGGACTACCAAATTGCCGAATCAACAGAGCCATCTTAGTAGTGTGCATGACATCATAAGGATGGTCACCTTCCGGTTGAGGTTTGTCGCCCCTTCTATTGACTTTAGACCAGTGATTGCTTTTTTCTTGTCTGAGTTTGGAATCGATCCCATGCTGCCTGTCATTCCGCTACGGGGTTACTGTGACAAGAGTTTAGATAGCTCGAGTTCTTCAGCAAAGTGCTTGTACTTGGACCGGTTCAGCAATATACAAAAATTGCCACCTGAGTTCTTCATAGAAGGATTCAGGGGTGCATGGTAGACCGTCTCTAGTCTAGACAGTAGATGAAAAAACCACCGTAAAATAAGACCGTCAAGGCAGGTGTTCACGTTAAGCACTCGACATTCGTGTCTATCTATCGATCGATCTACATATGTAATTGAAATATAAGTCGAAATTTTGAAATTTACTCAATGAAAAGGCGATCCTTCTATTTGTAGACTTCTCACAGCCCTCATACAAATACCCTAACGGAATTAAACTCCTACATTTCGCAAATTTCATTTTGTATCCTCATAACTGCTACAGGGTATCATATGGTCAGTTATGCTCGTCTATATCTTCTTCCATTTTCATTGTTTTTATTGTTGTTGCTAAAACTATAAACTATTCGACAAGGTTTCTTCTATATGTATTTGTGAATACTTGTAATTCTTGTGACAATTTTCTATTACATTCATTACATTTGTTAGATTACATATGTATGTATGTGTGTTGTTTGTACATTACATCTAGACCATCGATTCATGTAATTTTTCTTTTCCTCAATTTTTCTCTGTAATACAGTCAAACCGGCAAACAGACAGTCCGTTAGATATACAGCTGCTGCAGTTTGTATTGTATTTATAATGATGACGCTGAATATATATGTATATCTGTTTTGTGTTAAACTCAATTACATTACAATTTTCAATATTATAAATTATAGTTGTTGTCATTTATAGACGAATTTTATTTATAGAGATGGTTGTTATATTCTCTTATTTTTTGCTTTCGAAATCGTTTAAATCAGTGTTTTTTGAGCTAAAGTATAAGAAGTATTCGTATTGTGTTGCTAGTAAAATGATTTATAACAGATTGTGTAAATTTCTAGCAGGTATTTTGCCATATAGACAAATGTATATATAGTTTTCATTATTTATTACATTTTTAATGAAATACTTAAAATTGTAATGCACTGTATGGAGTAAGGAAAATTAATTAGAGAAAATTATTTATTGCTATTCAATCAATTATTTGAACTTTTCGTCTGAACTTTGTGATAGTAATGTAACGTAAAATAAGATAACACAGAACATGTCCAATGCTAGAAGTAACAACTCCTAGTCGTGGTTTCAATCTTTTGAACCGCGAAGTTGAAACCGATGAAACACATTCGCTACAAGCTTGGTTGTGCAATCGTTGTGATTCAGCGTAATTTTTCATACCCTCCATCAAAAAAGATGGATGATATATTGATTTTGTCATTCCGTTTGTAACACATCGAAATATCTGGCGTAGTCCAAGTAAAGTTACTGTCTGTCTATATATCTGTTTCTATGTCTGTCTGTCTGTCTGTCTGTCTGTCTGTCTGTCTGTCTGTCTGTCTGTCTGTCTGTCTGTCTATCTATCTATCTATCTATCTATCTATCTATCTATCTATCTATCTATCTATCTATCTGTTTCTATGACTGTCTCTCTGTATGTCTGTGTGTCTATCTGTCTGCCAGTCTGTGTGTCTGTCTGTCTATGTGTCAATCTTTCTGTCTGTATGTCTATGTGTCAATCTTTCTGTATGTCTGGCAGTCTGTGTATCTGTCTGTCTGTCTGTCTGTCTGTTTGTTTGTTTGTCTGTCTGCCAGTATGTGTGTCTGTCTGTCAGTCTGTGTGCCAGTCCGTCTTTCTGTCCGTCTGTTTGTCTGTCTGTCTGTCTGTCTGCCTGTCTGTCTGTCTGTTTGCCTGTCTGTTTATCTATCTGTCTGTCTGTCTCCGTCCAGTGCAATTTTGAATACACTAAAATAAAAAAGAAAGGTTGGTATTAATTTGAATGAATGTTGTAAAAATTCTGTTTCGATTTTTAAACAAATTTTGAATCAGTTTAAGTAGTATAAATGATGGATCAGTTGTCCAGATATAAAAGGTTTTCTTACCAAAAGTTATAATATTTAATAATAAAATATTTTATTTCTTAATTTTATGTATATACAAACATTTTGTTATTTATATATTTTAATTAGAATTTAACTAATTTTCATTATAATAATTTTATTATATATTTTAAAATTTTGTTTTTTCAAAAGTATTTGTAGCATGTTTTCTTTGGGGTTTTGTTTTTTTAAAGTTTGTTTGGTAATTTTTGAACTTGAACGCACTCTGTTTTCAAAATTGAACATTACAGTGTAATTTAATAAATAATGTATAATGCATATTATTATTATTATTAAACATAAACTATATAAATAATTTTATTAAATAATTAAATAATTTAAATAAAAAACAACTTAGTTTAAAATAATCTATAAATTTATCAAAAAATACTTGTATTTTGTCTGTCTCTCTTTCTCTTTCTTTTCTTTATTTTTTTTCGTAATTAAAATCCCTTAAAATTTGGAACAAATGCAACAAACCAACAACAACAACTACTACTGCACATTATCTTCTACCTCTCTACATAATTTACGTAACGGCTAATTACGTTAATGATGACATTGATGAAATCAAACTAAAATCAATAATTTATAACAAATTCTTCTTATACTTATTATTTCCAATTCAAATTATTTCTTTTTTGGGGTACATATAATTTTTGATGTGTGTTTTCTTTTTGTGAATTATTATTTGGTTTGTGTTTTTCTATTGCATTTTCTTTGCAGGCGGGTGAGTCGAATAATGGCTTATTCAAAAAGACCATCTCAAAATTGAGCACAGAGTATCGTTTGCAATTCGTTTGGCCCAATGTTCGTAGAATAAGAGATCAAACTGGGTCAAACGTACACAAAACAACAGCCAAAGAACAGCAACAACAACAACAACAACCGAAAAAATCAATATCATTAGGTGCAATTAGGGGTCAACAGCACCATCCGCTCAATGATCGATGTACGGCTGCGATGCCAACCGTTCATAAAAAACGTACAACAAATCAAAAAGAAGGTGCGACAAAATATTCCATTTAGTTTTGTCGCTTTTTTTGAGTACAAATTTAAATGAAAGAAACTAAAAATATGCAAATCACATATAAGGCACAAAAAAAAAAATGAAACTAACAAAATTTAATTACAATTTTAATACTCGTTAAAGAGAAAAACGTACATTTAGCAGTAAATTTTTTCTTATAAATTTATAAAAAAAAAGTTTTTTTTTTTCACAATCGATTTGTAAGCGGCTGTTAAGACTTATAATAAGGATTTCAATTCAATTGCAAATTTTAATTCTAAAACTGATACTAAATTTATTGTAGTTTTTATAATAATTTAGTATTTTAAAAGTACGTTTTTTATAGTTTTCTTTATTGTACTAGTTGCTTTATAAGTAGCTTTTTAAGGCGATTTTGAATGTTTGAAGAGACAGCTCTACATAGTTTTCTTTTTAGTCTCGCTTTGTTATTATTAAATAGAATTTCGCCAAAAGTGTTTTAATATAAATTAAAATTTTAGGTTTTAATATGTTGTATTATGGGGTCACAGTGAAGTATTTGGAATTTTTTCAAAATAAAATTTTTCCATATATCCACCCACAAATGTAAAGGCAAGAAAATCTATCTGAACAAAATTATTCGGTGTCAATAAAATCATTTATTTACAGCCATAAGGATAAAATATCTGAAATGATATTGCCCCCGAAAGATTTGCATTTAATTTCGGCAAAGGCCTATCAACGACAATGAAAGTATATCAGCACTTTACTCTCCTTCACATGTCCTACATTCGTCTGAATTTATTCCTCCCATCTCATAGAGAAGACTTAATCCGCATTCTCTTTAATAAAATGAAGGGAAAGCGATTCTTCATCATCTAAATTTGTGTGTTCCAATTACAATGTATTCAACTTTAAGTTATTAAAGATTCAAAAGAGAAAAATTAAAATTATTTCATTACTTCACTGTGACCACTTAAACCAAATAGTTGTAACTACTAATAACTGAGAAAAAAATATAATTATTCGTAGTTATTACTTTAAACTATATTTATTTTCTTATTTTAAATTATTATAAATTTTCTTCTTTTTTTTAAGTTTTTCTTACCACCAAAAGTTTTTAAACTTTCAAATCAAAAATTATCTTAATTATCAGTTTGTAACGATTTTCAAAACAAAATAATTTCTTTATTTTTCTTTATACTTTCTTTGTTATAACTTAATATCACGGTGTATAGAACGAAATTATCTAAAAACAAATAATTAGAGCGCATTAAGTTAAAAAATTATAACATTTCAAAATATTTATAAACAAAATATTGCAGAAAAATTAAATACTTAAAAGTTGTTCGCAACTTTTAGAGCAAAAGCTTCTTTTTTTAGCATTAATGATTGATGATTTTTTTTAGGTAAAAGGCAAGTAAGTGCTGTTGTTCTTAAACTTTTGCAGAAAATCAAAAACAATTTAAAAAACAAATATTAATAATTATTAAACTAAAGACTGGGTTTGTTTAGTTTTATTGTTTCTTAGAAAAAAAGATTTTCTTCTAGAAAATTGTTCCATTAGTGGGAGCATGTTTATATATGTGTGTGTGTGTCTGTTTTCGTTTCTTTTGTTAAAAGGTTGTTGAGTTTTTTTCTAGAGATTTTTTTCTTTTATTTCGTTTTTTTTTCTCTCCATTCATTTAGTTGTTTGAAATATATTGATTTGTACATAAATAATTGTTTAAGACTCATATTTTAAGAAATTCATGCCATTCATTCAGAAGTATTTAGTGGTTATTTAATCGATTTGAGTTACAAAGTTAGCTAGACAAGATGTGGGTAAATAGCATTGAAATTAATTGTTGTAGGTTTTATTTTCATTATTTTATATGATTCATTAGGTTGTGGTGTTCTAATCAGGGGGTATGATTAATAAAAAAATAATCATACGCTCTAGGAGTCACGTGGAATATTGATAATTTTTAAATAGTATAAACTTTTATTGAAAATATAATTTTTTTTAGACTTTTCATTATTTTATTAGATTCATTAGGTTGGTATGTTCTGAGGGAAGAGTATAGCAGGTGGTATGATTAATAAAAAAAATAATCATACGCTCTAGGATTCGAGTGGTATATTAAAAATTTTTAGACAGTATAAACTTTTATCGAAAAGAGAATTTTTTTATACTTGAATGCAGCTTTTGTCTTTTTGACCGAATGTTAAAATTTTGATAAATTACAAAAAAAAAAGTGTTTTTTAGTCATTTTACTAGTAAATGGGCAGATCTCTATTTATTAGTTTATAGAAAGGTCTGTCGAGATTCATATAGCATAGCCTGTAGACTAGCATATAGCCTAGTTTATCGATTAGTCTATAGCTCTAGAAATCGCGTGGAATATTTCATTAGATTGATGTATTCAGAGAGAGAAGAGTATACCAGGTGGTATGATTAATATAGTAAATTATTTAAATAGTAAAAATTTTTATCGAAAATATAATAATATTTTTAGAATTAAAAGTAGCTTTTGAAAAAAAAAATAATAAGAAAATATTATTTAGTCATTTTACAAGTCTGTTACAAATTGGACAGCGTTTAAACTGGACTAGTACTGACTAAATCTACTATCTAGTTTTTTGAAAATTTATGTACAAGTCTAGGAACTAGCTTATAGATTACTCTATTGACCTGACTAGGTACGACTATATTAACCAGCCTAGGTACGAGTCTACTTATTAACTAGCCTAGTGACTAGCCTAGGGACAAGTCTATTCTCTAATCTATGGAATAGTCTATTGACTATCTTCTGAAATAGACTATTCATTTTATAACTAGACTAGTATAAAATCTATTCTCTGTGTAATAACAAATGCATGGAAAAGTCTATTGACTGCTTATAGATTACACTATTGATCTAGACAAAACAAGAAAAGACTATTGGCTACCCTATCGTATATAGAATGTTGACTATCCTATAGACAAGTCTTTTGATTATCCTATAGTCTATTGACTATAGACTAGCCTATGAACTAGTCTATTGACTAGCTTATAGACTAGTCCATTGACAATCCTATAGACAAGTCTATTGACTAGCCTATCGAATAGTCTATTGACCAACCGATGGAGTAGTCTATGGACTAGCCTATGTACTGGTCTATTGACTACACTATAGAGTAGTCTATTGAATAGCCTATAGAATAGTCTATTGGCATGCTTATGGACTATTTAATTGACTAACATATAGACTTGTCATATAGATTTGTCTATTGACTAGTCTATCTATAAATCTATTGACTAGCCTAGGGACTACTCTATTGACCAACGTATGGACTAGTATATGAACTAGACTATGGACTAGCCTATTGGCTAGACTATAACGTGGTCTATTCAATACCCTACAGAATAGGCTATTGACCTGCCTATAGACAAAGCTTTAGACTAGTCTATCGACTAGCCTATAGGCAAGCCTATAAACAGGCCTATATACTAGCCCATAGACTAGCCAACCAACCTATGGACTAGTCTATGGACTAGCCTATAGGCTAGACTATAGAGTAGTCTACTCAATACCCTATAGACTAGACTATTGACCAGCCTATAGACAAACCTTTAGACTAGTCTATTAACTAACCTATAAACAAGCCTATAGCCTAGCCTATAGATAAGGCTATAGACAATACTATAAACAAGCCTATAGACTGGCCTATAAAATAGCCTATAGACTAGCTTATAGACTGGGCTATAGACTAGCCTTTAGACTTGTCTATTGACTAGCCTATGGACTAGTCTATTGACTAGCCTATAGACAAGCCTATAGATAAGCCTATAGACCAGCCAACCAACCTATGGACCAGTCTATGAACTAGACTATGGACTAGCCTATTGGCTAGACTGGGCTATTGACCAGCCTATATACGAACCTTTAGACTAGTCCATTAACTAGCCTATAGACAAGCCTATAGACAAGCCTATAGACTAGCCTATAGACAAGCCTATAGATTAGCCTATAGAATAGCCTATATACTAGCCTATAGAATAGCCTATAGACTAGCCTATAGACTTGTCTATTGACTATCCTATGTATTAGACTATTGTCTAGCTTATAGACTAGTCTATAGACTAGCCTAGGGACTAGTCTATTGACTTCCATATAGACTTGTCTATTGAACAACCTATGGATAAGCCTATTGACTGGACTATAGAGTAATCTATTGAATAGCATATATACTAGTCTATTGACTCGACTTTAAAGTAGTCCATTGAATAGCCTCTATACTAGCCAATTGACTTGTCTGTAGAAAATCCTATAGGCTAGTCTATTGACTAGCCTATACACAAGCTTATTGACTTGTCTATTGACTAGCCTATGGACTTGTCTTTTGACTAGCCTATAGACTAGTGTATGGACTAGCCTATAGAATAGTATATTGACTACCCTATATACTAGACTATGGTCTAGTCTATTGTCTGGCCTATGGACAGTCTATGGAGTAGCCTATGGACTAGCATATTAACTAGCATAGCCTATAAGAATATTGGAATATTGCCTAGTTTATGGATTTGTTCATTAACTATTCTATTAACTAGTCTGGGTGATAGTCTATGGGCTAATCATTTGACTAGCCGAGGGACTAGTCTATTAGCTGGCCTATTATCTAGTCTATTATCAAGTCCATTGACTGGTTTATTATCTGGTCTATTCTCTACAAGTTTATTGACTAATCTATGAACTAGGTTATTGAATTGTCTATCCTATGGTCTTCTGACTAGTGCTGCTGAGGGAAGTTTTATTTGAGTCAGTTACTGCCGTATTTTTGTTGTGAAATTTCTAGGGTGCGAGTTAGACTAAAATACTTCTAGACCAATGTTATAATATTTAATATTTTTCATTTGAATTTTGAAGTTAACGATGTCTTTGGAAGGAAACATTAATTAAGTTAGAAATATTTTTAAAAATTGTGCTCATTAGTAAAGTCAGAACAATAAGCCTTTAACACTTTAAAATTCAAATCATTTATAAAAAACTCTTTAGCAATTGTTCATTTAATATCATTCATTTGTTTGATGTTTGTTTTGCGTAATTAAAATTTAATTAAGTTTTCGATTTTCTAATTTTATTGGATCATCTTTAAGTTTTTGTTTCGTTTTGTGTTTTTTTTTTTTAGTTCAAAACTCAAAAATGAATCGAAAACGTATTGGTTGAAAAAAAAATTTCGTTCTATATTGTAATTGCGATTAATTATATAAAATTAACTGTAACTAAGTTCACTACTAACATAGTAATTAATATGATTTATTTTAATATGATTTAAATATTTATTTGGAATTATTAACTTTTAACTAACATGTATTTTTAAACTATTTTTAGTTTTAGTTTTCTAACTTTAGGTTGTCTTTTTATTTTCATTACTTTTGATTTATTGATTTTTACTGTACAAAGAAAAATAACTAAAATTCAAATTAATTTTCTAAGGTTCTACATTGTTTTTGTTTGTGTACTAACTTAAATACTAAAGTACTATCTACATTTGCTGTTGTTGTTAATTTGTTTACTAATCTAACAGAGTTCTGTTACATTTGATTCTATAATCGAGTTTTATTTTTGTTTTATTTTTTGAAAACTAAACAATGAATAAATTAACCCAAAAACGTACCAACAAAAATAAAAGTAACAAATTAAAAGTTGTATTGCAAACGTACTACTACTTAAATTTTAGATCAAATATTTACTTACTTACAAACGTTTTAGTAACACTTAATGTCAATGGATTTTATTTTTCAAAAACTACTAATGCAAAACAAAAAAAAAAAAAAAAAAAAAGAAAAACGAAAATCAATTTTATATATTTATATATTTTTTTAGCAACACTACATGAGTTGGAGCCGCTGGTTAGCGATGCTGAAGATAGAAAACCCATTGAAAAGTATGCAAATACACAGTTTTAGTTTTAAGTTTTAAATAGTTTATTTTCAGTTTTATTTTCTATTTTATTGGTTTCAGTTGTAGATGTTTTTCATTTGTGTATAGATATATATTTTTTTTGGGTTGGATAGTAGTAAATTGAGAAGTATGCCAAAAAGTTTAAAAAAGGGATTTTATTCTATTAATATGCATAGCATAATTAAAGAGTGGGTAACCATGATGGAGTGAATTATTTAGATGAATTGACTTAAAAATTGATGAGCTTAGCTAATTGGGTATTAGAGTTTCGAATGAATAATACAATGTTGTATTGGAAAGACAATTATTATGGTTAAAGAAGGTTTATATATTTTATATATTTTATATATATGTATATTGAATTTAAGCTTTGATATCAATAATTTTTTTCTGGGGCAGGACTAATAAGCATAATTGGCTTGCAAATCATAAAAAAGCATTAAAAATATCATAAGGAGTATAAGTTTGGGAGCTTTCTGCAGATTAAGTTTATAGGCTTTATACAAGTATTTGGTATCATTGAAAACCTAATGACTTAGGGATTAATGTTTAATAGATATATAATATATCAGATCTTTTATTGGAACAGCATTTACGAAAAAGTTCATAAATCATAGTATAGATTTTTTTTTAAATCACAAATATAAAATTTGAATTAATATAAAATTTAAATGGATTAAGTTATCGGAGCAAAATTTTGGGCTTATATAAATCTAAGTCTTATAAAGTAATACCGTTACAAGTTGTCTTATTTTCAATACACACATACCGAAATTCCTAAAGCGGAAAAAATGTGTTCAAAAAAATTAGTTTTTTAATAAAAGTGCCCACTGTGACGTTATTTACAGTGTGATAGTAAAAATATTTTGTACGTATTTAAGGAACATATATGGCTATATAAATATGGACCTGCATAAAGGATCGGTGCTTTGCGTTTTTAACATTTTTTATTAAAATCAAAATTTTTTTTTTAAAATTGACCAAGTTTAGCTAGGGCTGTTGGAGGTAGTTACCGCTTAAATGAGCTAATTTTAATTTTGAGAGAGATCATTAAGATCTCTTTCAGAATAATATAAAATTTCGATATAGCCCTAAAGAAAATTTGTTTTTATTGAAGAATGAATGTAAGGACTTTTTTGGGAAATAACCTAAAAAATGAGGCACTTTTTACATATTGCAACTTTGGATGCATGTAAATTTTTATAGGGACCAGATAACTGTTGAGAAGCCTCTTTTGTTTTATTATTAGAAAATATTTAAAAAAAAATTACGGACCTCCCTAGGGCCGCCACATTTAAAAAAACTGAAAATAGATCGAACAAATTAAAGAATAAAAAAAAAAATTAAACCTAAATATCTCTTAAAGTAAAACAGATAAGCCACATATGTAAGCATTTTATTTTTAGATCTTCTCAAGGAGTAGTTATATTTTAGATTTCAGGTCATTCCGAACATAAATGTATTTTTAGCGATTAAAAAAAAATAAAAAAAAATTAATACCCGAGGTTATCAATTTCGAGGGGCTAACTATTGGCCCCCATACCATCCACGACCACCTACAACTGTTAATCAACTCGAAAACACCTCAGCTCCATACATGTGAAATTTCATTCGATATATTGAATAGTTTCAGAGATACCGAATTATTTCCAAAAATAAAAGTTTTTAAACCATTGTGCAAAGGATATTATTTTGGTATACTTCTCAATATAATTTTTCTTCTACTTTTTTGTTGTAGTCCTTTTTTTAATATTTTCTTTAACTCTCAATAAACCATTGTAAATAATTTTGTAAATTTCTGAAACCGAAAAAATACAGTTACGTAAAATAATTAAACATCACCTTTTTTCCAAAACAAAACTGCACCCTTCATCATGATACAAAAATCATAGTTAATTTCTAAATATATGTTTTAATTAATTTTCGTTTTCTTAACTTTTCACTTTCTTTTTTTTTGAAACAAACAATTAAAAAAAATCCTCAATACTTGAATGGTTTTTAACAAAAAAATCCAATAATGATTTAAAAAAAAAACCTAAAATAATAAACAAACTGGATGCTTGCTCGTATGCCTTAAAAAACATGACGCTTTGACTGCTTTTTTTCAAAAAAACCAAACAATCCTCTAAATCATCTGTTTTCAAACATCAAAACTGATGCCATTTTAATAACAAATAAACAAACACTACCTCCTTCCCCTACCAACCTCAAAATGGCTTGCATTTTTTTGCACACATGGCTTAAAATAAAAAAAACCAAAACGTTAACAAATTTATTATAAAATCAAATAATAATAACAAAAATACAATCTGTAAAAATGTTTGCACTTTTAAAATGAAAAATTTTAAATCAAAACAAAACAATAAAACTTAGACAAGTAACTATACAAGAGAAAAAGGTCACCACCCGACCCTTCTCCCAACTGATTGATCAAGAGCGAGCCAATCATTTCATTACCAAGAAGGAAAATTTCGGTTTTGCTGATGCAACCGAGGCCGACAATAAGCAACAACATGCAAAACTGCAAGAACAGCAACAGCAGGGTGAAATCATAATGAATGGCTCGGCCCCACCCTATTCGAAACCAAATTTGGATTTATGGTTTAAAGAGGTAGTAGAAATGCGCAAAAAGGCCGGAGAATATAAGGTCTGTATAATGATTTCATAATAATGTACATAATTTTTTTCTTTATAAAAATTCTATTTTGTTCTTTAATTCCAACTAAAGAGCCGAGGATGGGGCAAGGAAATTGATCCTGAATTGTATAAGAAACAACAGGAACTTTGGGATCAGGTCTCGAAACGTAGTTCGTTGTCTTCATTATGTTTGGCCTCAACTATGCCAAGGTAAGTGTAGAAAGTATGTGTAAAAAATTAAATTAAGAAAAGCTTTTTTGGTAAAACTTTTTTCTAGCAAGAAAGCTTATTTAAAAAATAATATATTTTTGTTTTGTAAAAAAAACTTTTTCTACTGAAAAAGCTTTCTGCTTATGGAAAACTTTTGTGTTTAATTCTTTAGTTTCCAATTAAAAGGCTTTTTTCTAGTTAAAAACTTTTTTTCTAATGTAAAAGCTTTTCCTAGTGAAAAAGCTTATTTGTCGAAAAGCTTTATTGTGAACAATTTTTTTATTAAAACGCTAAAGAGGTTATAAAATATTTTTCACTAAAAATTATTTTTTGTAAAGCTTTTTTTTAAATTCTTTTTAGAAAAGCTTTTTATTTAAAAATTGTGTTAAGAAAAGCTTTTTCACTAAAAATACTTTTTGAAAAAAGCTTTTTTAATAAAAAATGCTTTCAAGAAAGAAGCTTTTTCCATTGAGAGACTAAAAACGCATTTAAGAAAAAGCTTTTCTACTAAAAACGGATTTTTGGAAAAAGCATTTTTACTAAAAAAGCCTTTTTTGAAAAACCTTTTTTTGCTAAAAAAAAGGCTTTTTGGAAAAAAGCTTTTTCAGAAAAAGAGTACTTTTAAGATAAAAGTTTTTCAACTATAAAAGCTTTTAAACTAATAAAAGGGTTTTAAATAAAAAAGTTTTTCGCTAGTCTAAAAGTTTTTTCTTAGTGAAGCATTTTGTGCTAAAAAACCTTTTCTGTTAAAAATTGTTCGTCTAGTAAAAACATTTTAGCGGTAAAGCTTTTTCACTAGAAAGTTAGTTTTTTCAAGTGATAAAAATATTTTATCACTGAAAAAGCCTTCTCTGTTGAAAAGCGTTTTTCTGCTGAAACATGTTCTTCTAGTAAAAAGCAAACTAATTTAATGAAAAAGCTTTATGTGTAATAAAATATAGAAAAAAGATTTTTTCTTTTAAAAACTTTTTTCTAATGATAGAGCTTTTCCTAATAAAAGAGCTTCTTTGTCATAAATGGTTTTAAGAAAAAAGCTTTTTTTACTAAAAAATGCTTTTAGAAAAAAACTTTTTTACTAAAAAATTCTTTTATGAAAAAAGTTTTTGCTTTTTACTAAAAAATGCTTTTAAGAAATAAGCATTTCTACTAATTGCCTTTTAGTAGAAAAGCTTTTTCTGAAACGAAATACTTTTCAGATAAATATTTCAATTAAAAAAGCTTTTAAACTAGATATTTTTTCACTAATTAAAGCGTTTTAATTAAAAAAGCTTTTCGCTAGTCTAAACGCTTTTTCTTAGAGAAGCATTTTGTGCTGAAAAACATTTCTGTTAAAAAGTGTTCGTCTAGTGAAAACGGGGTTTCCTAGCAAAAACATTTTAGCGATAAAGCTTTTTCGCTAGAAAGTTTTTTTCAAGTGATAAAAATATTTTACAATTTTTTTTTGATAAAAATATTTTAGTTTTTTCTGTTGAAAAGCGTTTTCTACTGAAAAAGCCTTTTCTGATGAAAAGCGTTTTTCTATGAAAAAGCTTTTTGTGTAATAAAATATTGAAAAAGCTTTTTCTCTGAAATATTTTATCTTTTTTTAGTGAAAAAACCTTCATTTCAAACATATTTGCTGGCGGAAAAGGTTTTTCTTGTGAAATAGCTTTTTAAAATAATTTTCTGCTGCAAAGCTTTTTTCAGAGTTTTCTGTTCAAAAGCTTAAACTTAATTTTTGTTAATAATCCTACTTTTTTTTGAAAGGTAGGCTTGTTTTTTTTAACTTTTCTGATGAAAAAGCTTCTTTTGCAGAGACACATTTCATGAATATAACTTTTTAATGAAACGTCAGCCTTTTTATGAAAAGGGTTTTTAACTCAAATTTTTAGATTAATATTTTTTTTTTGAAAAAAAAAAAATTATTGAGAAAAAAAGAAGATAATGTATTAATTCAAATTTATATAACAAAATGATTACAGGCCCATAACTAAGGAAGAAAAAGATGAGGAGAATAACAAGAAAACCGCTCCCATATTAAAAACTTATAAACCTCGAGTTCCTGGTCAGGCTTACTTTTTGGAAAATTTAACTAAAGACGAATTAAATGCACTGCCAGCACGATTTAGTCATATACGTCATCATTTGGAACGTACCACAGGACCAGGTTGAGTTTCCCCATTATCATTTTCACAAAATCCATATTAAATATATTTAACTTTTCTTCTTTCGTAGATGTTGAGGAAGGCGCCTTATTGCCTTCACCCACACGCGAAAAATTAATGCCAGCCATTACTAAACGCGAATCGGAATCACAAAGGGGTAGTCCTAAGAAAACCGCCGCTTCACGTCATGGCTCACCACAAAAGGGTAGTCCCCAAAAGGGCAGTCCCAAAAAGGTTCTTAAAAGTAAGTAATCACTTTGTTTAACTCTATTTAATGTTATTATTATTATTATTGTACACTTAAAGAAAATTCTACAAAAATTATTTATTACACTTTTAAATGAAAAGCGCAAACAGCAAACAAAACAAAAATTTATGAAATTAAGGAAATAAACTTTTTTTTAGTAACACCACTACACCAACACTGACACGTTTTTCTTTGGCACTTGTCAGGAGAGGTTTATTTATGAAACCAATAAACCTTTAATTCAAATCTGTATTTGTTTTTTTTTTTCTTTTCTATTTTTAAAAACACTTACAGCCTGTTTTTCTAAAACAATTTAGTTCTCACACGAACATTTCATTTTATTACGATCAAGTTTAAAATTTGGTTTTTATAAAACATTTGAAAGTTTTCGTTTAAAAATGTCTAAAATGAAATGAGCTTTTTCTATCGTAACAGAACATTATTGCCTACGTATTTCATTTCTGAATTTTTAAATATTTTTTCATGTAGTAATAAGGTGTTTGGTGTTAATCCTAAAAAAATAAACAAAAATAAAATAATTTTAGAAAAAAATTGAAATTATGAAAAAATGTTTTTTTAAAAACAACATGAAAATTGTATGCAATGTCTCAAGAAATTTAAAGGTTTGTATTACGAATTACATTCTGGTTCAAATGGACTCATATTATTACGTATTTTGGTAAAATTTTCGTTGTTTTTTGGGCAAACGAAAGGCCTTTGCCTATCGTCTATTTCTGACATTTCTTTCGTTTATTACGAACGAATTCATTTTCTAAAAACCAAAAATATATGGAAAAATAAAGCTCTTTCGTTGTCACTCACATGAAAATTTATTTTTTCGTTACAAAAACGTAAAGCCAATTTCGTTCGTTATTTTTAAGAACGAAGACAAATTTTCATTTTAGAAAAACAAGCTGTTAAAATACACAAATGTTTTTGTTGGACAACAACAAAACTATGGTTTTTTAACTTAATTTTGAATTTTTATTGAATTTTTTATGTTAATTTTTGTTTTTGTTAATCGTATAAGTTTAATGCTAAATACGTTTGTCTTGCTATTTGTTATTTTTTTTAAGATTTATTACAAAAGAAAATAAAAAATGTGTTCAGTTTTTGCTTGTTTATTTTGCAAGATTTTTTCGTTAGCAAATTATTGAAAATTATATTTTTTTTCTATATAAAAAAACGTTTTTGAGTGCAGTTTATGTGCAAGTTTCATTTGTAAAAAAAAAATATTAAAAAATGTTTTATTGTTCATAAAATGTTAGTTAAAAGATAAACTATTTAAATAATGTGAAGGTAAATTTTAGAGAATATAAAAATTTTTAAAAAAAGTTTTCTCTCTTATCACACATGCTGTGTTTTTTCATTTACCTTTCTTTCTCTTAGAAACTATTCTATCTTTGGGTTACAAGACTTTTTTTTCAGTTTGTGGGCGCATTTTGTTTGTTCTTTTATTTTCAATGTGAGAGTAGTAACTGAGTAACAAAGTTATTGCAATGGGGAAGGAAATTGATTGATTGATAATTTATAGAGTCAAAAAATTTGGGTTCTTAAATAAAATGGCCTAAATTTTTATATTATTATTTGTTATCTCCGATTTAAAAAACTATCACAAAATGACAAGGCTATATGTTTGTCATTCCGTTTGTAATTTCCACAATATAGTTTTCCGACCCTAAAATCTATATACATATATTCTGGATTCTTATAGATAACGGAGTCGACTAACACATGTCTGTCTATCTGTCTGTCTGTCTGCCTATCTGCTGTCTATCTGTCTGTCTGCCTATCTTTCTGTCTGTCTGTCTGTCTGTCTGTCTGTCTGTCTGTCAGTCTTTCCGTCTGTTGACATCAATTTTCTAAAACCCCAGATATCGGATTCAAATCTTCAATAATTCTGTCAGACTGTACTTTCTAGAAGTTTCATATTTAAAACTATTAAATCAGTTATGGCTAAATGTTTGATCAGATCTATACATTTGACAAGTCTTTTAATAACCGAAAGAAACCAAGTGATTTTGATTAAAATCGATATCTGATTTCACTCAGCTCCCATACAAATTATTTGGGATACAATGATAAAATTAGTTTAACAATAATAATTGACTTGCAAATATTAGTACAGCGATTTTAGTCTTTATACCCAAACGGGAAAATGCCTCACATACAAAACCGAAAGATTTCAGGCCAATCAGTCTGTCATCTTTTCTCTTAAAAACCTTGGAACTGCACATTAGGAGCACTATCGATCCTGGCCGTTTATCTGCATCTCAAAATGCCTACATGAAAGGCAGATCTGTTAAAACTGCCCTACACTTACTCGTAAGATTTGTCGAAAAATCCCTCGAGTATAACAAATATGCCTTTGTGGCCTTCCTTGATATTGAAGGGTCCTTTAATAATGTACTACCAGAATCAATTTTATTGGAACTGGTTAGGTTGGGTGCTATTAGTAGACTAATTGAGTCATAATTTTTACCGTGAGAAATGTCACTTTTTTATAGCATGGCGAAACATGGCACTCCACAACTAGTAGTCTTATCACCTCTCTTATAGAATAATGCTATTAACTCACTACTCATGGAACTCAATTCCTTGTAAGTGTAAGATTATTGCATATGTGGATGATGTGGTGGTTGCTGTCTCTGGCAAGCATTTAACCACTATCTCACAATGCCTGCAACAATCACTGAGTCGACTGAGTCTTTGGAGCTACAACAGTGGTCTTAATGTCACTCTTTGGAAGACCGAACTTGTTCTATTCTCGAATAGTTACAAGATTCCCTCTTCCTCGCCTAACCGGCATAGAGCTTAAACCCTCTGATAGTGCAAAATAAACTAAACTACTATGGAATCTGAATATTAAAGCAAGAGCCTCTAAGGTGATGTACGCATGTAGGAAAGCCATTGGTAAGAACTAGGGAATTAGTCCCGAAATGGATATTTGACATGCTTATAAAGCCTATTTTGATGTATGGAGCACTTGTATGGTGGAAAGCTTTAGAAAAATACACCTATTGCAATAATACTGAAGGAATAATGGGAGCTTCTGCACTAATGATTACTGGTGTGATTCAAAGCACGAAATTGGCCTTAAACATGGCAGTTAGACTTCTTGCTGCCAGGATATGAAATCCAAACCGACATGGTCATACTTCTATCAAGGGAAATACGATTTACATCCCCGAGAATATCGATTACTACTCTCCCATGCTCCTTCCGGACAACTGACACATTAGTTGGTGTCCCGCTTTCATGCTGTAAAGCCCTTATCCAGCATGAACCTTATGGTTCTGCTCAGACCAGATGGTCATCACTGACTCACTGCTCAACATCAAGAATTCCCTGGCCCCTCTTATAATGAGCGAAGGTCTATTTGTTTGATGTGGCTTTTCTGGATGAGTGTATTTATATTGGTAGCCATCCTAACTGGGCACTGTACTATAGGTGCGCATGCAAGAAGTCTAAATGTTCTCCCTCCCTAATGCAGGAGTTGTCAAAGTGAGGATGAAGAGGAAACCGTAGAACACTTCCTCTACCTCTGCCCTGCGTTGGCAAATATCAGGACTGAGTTTCTAACCAGTCCAATATTGCATGAACTTGCGGCTCTATCGAATATAGACGTATACTATATAAGATAGAATCGTTCATTTGTGCCATGTAATGTCCCACAGGTTGGTTTTCTATTCGCAAGTTCCATTATAGGGTATCACAACGGGATCATTAGGACTCAAGTGAGTAGGTCAATTGCCCGACTGCTTCAATAAGCTAACCTAAGAGGTGCATGCGCTGCCAGGACCAACTCAAACATTTAGTTAATATAGGTTCCAAATCTTTTGGTATATGAAACATATCAAGTGATGCACAATTTGTGAATCAACTCAACAAAGATAATACTTTGCAAGTCAGCGTGGGTTCTAGGATTCCTTAAATGTGTTTTACTTGAGACGTCTATGGATCCGAGAGAGGACACTTTTATCTAATATTAGTATATTTAGAGTAGTAAGTTATTCAGATTTATTCTCGAAATTATAGTCATGCCGAAAAAAAAAACAGTGAAATTTCTCTTCCTTGAATTCTTGAGTCAAAATCCTCTTCTATTATATCATTGATTTCAAACTAAAACTTTTCTCGATTAAAATATTTTCCACTTAAAAATAGTTTTCTCTTTAAAAATATTAATGTTAAAATTTTATTTTTTTATTATTTCTACGACTGTTTACTATCTCTCTTAAAACTCTTTAAACTTTAATACTGTCTAACTGTGGCATTCACTACTACTTACCACATTCACTCACCATTAACTACAATCATGACAGCATAAAAACTCAACCACAAACTTTTCAAATAGTTAGATAAAATCTAAGGATAACTATATGTTAGTTACTAACTATCTAGTGCTGTTAGTTAAACAAGCTAGGTTATTAAAAAAAAAAAACTGTAACAAAAACGTCTAACTATCAATCAATGTGAATTTGTTTCAAAATTAGCAATATGTATCTTAACTTAAACTTAAATATGTTAACAAACATTTTTTTTGTGTTTACACCTTAGATGATATTTTTTTTTGTCCTAAACATGAGTCTCAATACTTTAAATGTATACAATAACAAAAGAATTTGATGTCTCATTACGAAATATATGTATTTAAATTAATTAACTCACCCTTTTAGTTTTAAACATAGTTTAATAAGTTTGTCATAATCAAATTTCATTAACATTTATCAAAAAAATCAAATTTTTTCTTCAAAATCTAAAAAAAAAAAAACGAAAACAACAACTTTAAAAATTCTCTGAAAAAATAACCACAAAAAATACGTTATTGAAAACATAATATAAATGTTTACAATTAAACTTAAAATCAAAAGTACGCTCACAATCGGTTGGTCCAGAACATGAATCGCCTAAACGTCAGTTACGTTCCGCTAGTACAGCACCCTACAATCGAACGGCTGGCAAGAAAACTCCTACAACTGCTACACAGGGAACGACTGAGCGTAAACCACGACCATGTAAGTAATTACAAAAGAAAAGCAAAAATAGAAAAATTAGAAAACTAAAATTAAAACATAAAGTAGCTACGTCTCACACACATATTTATTATTTAAAATTTTAATTGGCTGTTTTTAGTTTTTCATTTAAATTTCTTTTATTTATTTTATTTTACAAAATTCCTTTAAAATCCATTATTCAAGAAATACCTAAGTTTCTTTTTTCTTTCTTTTATAACATAACTAACTTTGTTTAGGTCTTAGTTCTATTTTTGTGTAATTGAATTTTAGCAGATACCAAGTAGTTTCCATTAAAATGTATTAATTTAGTTTGTTGTTTTGTTTTCACTTAATCTGAAATTACTAACATTTTAGCTGTGATTTTTCCTTAAGTTTATCTTTTATACTTTCAATTGTGTTCGAAACAATTCAAATACTTTTGTAAATTGTTTTCAAATTGAAATTCTATATACATTTAAATAATCTAAATATTTCCATGTAATGGTGTTGGGTTACTACTACTACTACTTTACTACTCGTACTTATTCAAATATATTAACAATTCTTATGAGTTCAGCATGTTTGTTTATTAGTTTTTATTAAAATAAAGAAATTTGTATAAAATTTGTTAATGTTTTTTTTAGAAAAAACATTTAGATAAAACAACTTATTTTACTGCTATAAAAAATAATAAAAACAAAAAGAATAATTGGTGTTTTTAAGTGTTTAGTTTATAAAATATTTAAACTTACAAACAAAATAAGAAAAACCTCAACTCATATTCATTTCAAAATTTTTCTTAAAGTGTAAAAATACAATTTCGTTTTTCATAATAAGCGTTAACAGCTTATTTTTACATATGTTGTACATTATTTCTTTTTGTTTTCTCTTTTATTAAAGTTTTATCAGTTCTAGTTCAGTTCCAGTTCAGTACTAGTTTAGTTCTAGTTCAGTTCTAGTTCAGTTCTAGTTCAGTTCTAGTTCAGTTCTAGTTCAGTTCTAGTTCAGTTCTAGTTCAGTTCTAGTTCAGTTCTAGTTCAGTTCTAGTTCAGTTCTAGTTCAGTTCTAGTTCAGTTCTAGTTCAGTTCTAGTTCAGTTCTAGTTCAGTTCTAGTTCAGTTCTAGTTCAGTTCTAGTTCAGTTCTAGTTCAGTTCTAGTTCAGTTCTAGTTCAGTTCTAGTTCAGTTCTAGTTCAGTTCTAGTTCAGTTCTAGTTCAGTTCTAGTTCAGTTCTAAGTTCAGTTCTAGTTCAGTTCTAGTTCAGTTCTAGTTCAGTTCTAGTTCAGTTCTAGTTCAGTTCTAGTTCAGTTCTAGTTCAGTTCTAGTTCAGTTCTAGTTCAGTTCTAGTTCAGTTCTAGTTCAGTTCTAGTTCAGTTCTAGTTCAGTTCTAGTTCAGTTCTAGTTCAGTTCTAGTTCAGTTCTAGTTCAGTTCTAGTTCAGTTCTAGTTCAGTTCTAGTTCAGTTCTAGTTCAGTTCTAGTTCAGTTCTAGTTCAGTTCTAGTTCAGTTCTAGTTCAGTTCTAGTTCAGTTCTAGTTCAGTTCTAGTTCAGTTCTAGTTCAGTTCTAGTTCAGTTCTAGTTCAGTTCTAGTTCAGTTCTAGTTCAGTTCTAGTTCAGTTCTAGTTCAGTTCTAGTTCAGTTCTAGTTCAGTTCTAGTTCAGTTCTAGTTCAGTTCTAGTTCAGTTCTAGTTCAGTCTAGTTCAGTTCTAGTTCAGTTCTAGTTCAGTTCTAGTTCAGTTCTAGTTCAGTTCTAGTTCAGTTCTAGTTCAGTTCTAGTTCAGTTCTAGTTCAGTTCTAGTTCAGTTCTAGTTCAGTTCTAGTTCAGTTCTAGTTCAGTTCTAGTTCAGTTCTAGTTCAGTTCTAGTTCAGTTCTAGTTCAAGTTCTAGTTCAGTTCTAGTTCAGTTCTAGTTCAGTTCTAGTTCAGTTCTAGTTCGTTCTAGTTCAGTTAGTTCAGTTCTAGTTCAGTTCTAGTTCAGTTCTAGTTCAGTTCTAGTTCAGTTCTAGTTCAGTTCTAGTTCAGTTCTAGTTCAGTTCTAGTTCAGTTCTAGTTCAGTTCTAGTTCAGTTCTAGTTCAGTTCTAGTTCAGTTCTAGTTCAGTTCTAGTTCAGTTCTAGTTCAGTTCTAGTTCAGTTCTAGTTCAGTTTCAGTTCAGTTCTAGTTCAGTTCTAGTTCAGTTCTAGTTCAGTTCAGTTCTAGTTCAGTTCTAGTTCAGTTCTAGTTCAGTTCTAGTTCAGTTCTAGTTCAGTTCTAGTTCAGTTCTAGTTCAGTTCTAGTTCAGTTCTAGTTCAGTTCTAGTTCAGTTCTAGTTCAGTTCTAGTTCAGTTCTAGTTCAGTTCTAGTTCAGTTCTAGTTCAGTTCTAGTTCAGTTCTAGTTCAGTTCTAGTTCAGTTCTAGTTCAGTTCTAGTTCAGTTCTAGTTCAGTTCTAGTTCAATTCTAGTTCAGTTCTACTTCAAGTCTTAATTTGTGTAAAAAAATACAAGTGTTTTTTTTTAATCAGGGCTATTTAGGTTATTTTTCCATTTATTTGTTTTATTTTCCCACGATATTGAAGATTTAAGGTTTGCGAAAAGGCTGAATGATTTTTATGAAGCATTACTGTATTTATAAGCTTTTGGTTGAGCTGTGGTATTTGAGAGACTTGAAACTTCTGATTAAAGCTTTATAGGTTTTAGTACGAAAATTTTTCTAAACTGGAATGCTGTTAATAGTTGTAAAGCTTTAACATTAAGTTTATAACAGAAATCATAATTATTAATGTTGTTAAAGCATTGCTTCGACCAGTTAAGAAAGTAACTTATCACATTCTCGATCTCCTTTTAAATTTTTTTTGGAACTTAATTATACATTTTCTCTTAAATCTCAGCTGTTTAAGCTTTAGCTAAAGCTTTATAAATACAATTTTCCGAAACTATTTTTCTTATAATTTCACTTATAAAACTTTATTTAAATATTTAACTAAGTTTTATTTTAACTCTTTATTTATCTAATAAAAGCTATAAATATTTAAAACTAACCAATAAATTTTTATTTTTTATTAAAGCTTTATGTTTCTTTATGTTTTGAACTGAATTTTTTTTTTGTGCAACAAGAAGAACAACAAATTGAATTTTTATTTATTTACTTCTTTATTCTTTTATTCCCACGTTATTGCCCACATGAATTTTTTTTAAATAAATAAAAAAACAAATATATATACATATATATAGCTACCCTTTCCACAACATTTCATTCCCGTACGAAAAGTAGTTCATTACCTCCTCCTAGTGGTAGGGCTCATGCAAATGCTGCTGCTACTGCTAGTCATCCTGCTGCTAATGCAAATCAAATGCATTTGTCTACATCACAATCAAATAAATCACCGCAACCGCCACAAATGCGCAAAAGTGACAAAGACAAAACTAATGCCGCTAAACCACGTTCAAAAACGTCAACTGCTAAATCATCATCTTATCCACCACATCCTCCTCCATCAGACGATATGACAAGCTCAAAAATATTGGTAAATGGTCATGATGCTCATAAGGATGTTGATGTTGTTGATGATAATGACAATGATAAAATTATTATTGCTGGCAAGAAAGCAAATTTATTGGCTTTAGATCATTTAGCTGTGCCAGGTCGTGATAAAAAATTGGTCGAAAGTGAGTAGAGAAGGTCGTTCAACATGAAATGATGTTCACTATTTTTTTAATACAAACATGCATACTACATATAACTTTTTTTGTTTTTGCAAAACAGGAATGTTATATTTAAAACAAAGTATCTACTACTTATATATTTCTTATTTTTATTTGTTAAAAACTAATTTATTGGTTTAACCCAAAAAGAAAAGAGATGCCTAACACTTGTGAAATTGAACATAATTTGCAAAGTTGTAAAATGTGTGTGTGTTTTAATTACACTTGTGCTTACATATCTATTTCTATTAATTTTTAAAATCAAAATTGTAAAAACTTAAAAGTGAAATCCTAATTGTAAAACATTATGTAGTTTTAGTTCCGGTCTAGTGCTGTTCTAGTTCGCATCTAGTTCAGTTCTAGTTCAGTTCTAGTTAGTCAGTTCTAGTTCAGTTCTAGTTCAGTTCTAGTTCAGTTCTAGTTCAGTTCTAGTTCAGTTCTAGTTCAGTTCTAGTTCAGTTCTAGTTCAGTTCTAGTTCAGTTCTAGTTCAGTTCTAGTTCAGTTCTAGTTCAGTTCTAGTTTAGTTCAGTTCTAGTTCAGTTCTAGTTCAGTTCTAGTTCAGTTCTAGTTCAGTTCTAGTTCAGTTCTAGTTCAGTTCTAAGTTCAGTTCTAGTTCAGTTCTAGTTCAGTTCTAGTTCAGTTCTAGTTCAGTTCTAGTTCAGTTCTAGTTCAGTTCTAGTTCAGTTCTAGTTCAGTTCTAGTTCAGTTCTAGTTCAGTTCTAGTTCAGTTCTAGTTCAGTTCTAGTTCAGTTCTAGTTCAGTTCTAGTTCAGTTCTAGTTCAGTTCTAGTTCAGTTCTAGTTCAGTTCTAGTTCAGTTCTAGTTCAGGACTAGTTCAGTTAGAGTTCAGTTCTTGTTCAGTTCTAGTTCAAGAGAGTTTCAGATTATTATGGTTCTTAGTCCTTTGACTCCATATAATTTCACTCAAAATTGCATTTCATTTAAGTTTGGACTAGTCTTTGAGATGTGACCAAAATATTTTCATGTATATTTACAAAATAGTTAGTTTTGTGCAAAATTAAGATTTGAATTACATATATTTAACATATTTAAAGCATATCTTTAGCACTTTTTAATTGGATTTCAGCTGTTTGCAAAATTTTGTCCAAATCGGTGACTATAGGAAAAATCTTTTGAATTTATAGTGCAATTCATCTGGTGCAACATATGCTTTATGGAGTTCACTATGTAGGTTACTAAAATGGTCCAGGGGAATATAGAATAAATATATTTAGAAGTTTTGTTTGAAAGAATTTTTGTAAATCTTAATATCCTGGTTCAGTAAGCACAAGTGTAATGAAATAAATTGTAACTAAATGTTTGCCTTTTATGTATAAAACACATATTTGATGTGACAAAATTTATTTATTAAAATGTATAAAAAACCACTTTAACCTCAAAACATTTACTGTCAAAACAAAATTTTATAAAACTTAAAATACGACCAATTATTTGATTAAAACTAAAAATAGTTACTTTTAGAAACTTAAAAATTTGGTAAATGTTGCCAGGTTATGATACAATATGAGAATTATAAAAAAAAAATTTAAATGTGTTTTTATCTATTTGTTTTATAAAATGCCTTCAATGTTTGTAACAAAAATGTAAAAATAAAATCTAACATATATTTGTAGTCCTTTTCTCCTGCTGTGTTATTTCTCTAGACTTGTTGTAAATAATTTAATGTTTCCAGTAGTTGAGTGTTAAGTACTTGTAGTATATTATTAACTTAAGTTGCTGCGTTTAAATAAATACTCTACTCTCCGATACTTCTCTACAAAACTCAAAAAACTAAACAATCAACTCTAAAACTTAAACTAAATACTCAATACTAACGATTAAAAACTCCAACTAACATTTTAACATCACTCTATCTCTCTCTCTCTCACAATCAACAAAATTATGTGTTTACTCTCTATTTTTAACTCTATTTTACTATAACTCTTACCTACTGTGTCTATCTATCTAACTCTATTTGAATTTCTTTGTCTTACTTTTAACAACAATTATAACATAAAAAACTTAACAATGATCATAAGAAAAAACTTAACAATTAACAAAAAAAAGCTTGGTTGAAAAGTTTGTTTATGAAAAAGCTCTTAAAGCTTTAAAGCATGCCTTTTAAATTGATGGTTTTTATTTAAGCAAATAAGAAAATGGATTTATTCATTTATTAATATTTTGTTTAAAGTTTATTTCTTTGTTTTAACGCAGCTTTGTTTAAACTTATATTTTCTAATTATATTTTGTTAAAAATATAATTTTTTAACAGGATTTTTTTCTTTGGAAACAAATATTTTGAAAACTAATTTTTGAATACTAACCCGTTTTACTAATAACAAACATTTAAGTATGCTTTAACTAAAAAAATAAAACAAACTAAACTTAACAAATGATTTCAAAATTTTATCACTTTTATTAATTGTTAAGAAAATGGATTATTTATTAAATATTATCTTATTAATGTAGATGATACTGAAGATGGCCGTGATACTGCCATATCTGTATCCAGCTGCAGTCCCCAACCAGTGGCTGAGGTTCCTGAAGAACCCATAGTTAAATCGCCACCTGAACCTACTCGTGTCAAGAGTCCCGAACAAATTATTATGCGTTCACCAGATCCCGTTAACTGGACTGTACCCTTGGATACAGGGAAAACCTTTACCGTAACACAAAATGTCAAAGAAGGTAAGTTTTTTTATTAATTAAGCTTTTAGATTTTTTGTTGAGAAAGTTAAATATTTAAATATATTATAGGTGAAAATTATAGTAGACCACAAAGTGAAATAAAAGCTTCTACCCCTGTAGAAAAGCCACCACCACCACCCCAGTCGGCACCTCCCGAATTGACTGAACAAGTCAAAATGGACGGTAAGCTTTAAAGCACGCTTGTTCTTCGTAACATCCATATCCAATAAAAAAAAAAAAAAACAAAAAAATAAAAAAACGCTTTTCAATACTAATTCGCTTTCATCATTATATATCATCATTAAACAAAAAAAAAAACGTTTTTAAAAAAATCTAACTCAAAAAAAAAAGCTTAAAAAAGTCAATCAATCAAGCAAGAAAGCACTTTTTTCGTAACACTTCATTCTTCTTCGTAATTTAATCCCTTAATTCACTCACGTTTGTGTGATAAAGCAGCCTGGAAAACAAAACAACCACGCAGCAATAATGCTCACAATAACAACAACAACAACGAAGCGAAGTCACCAACACAAACTACTAATAACACAAGTGGAAGTCCTACAACAGAAGTGGGCAAAAATACTCTGCTACAGAATAATGCTAATAGAAAACCAGTGCCTGGCACCACCATCAGGGTTCTCGAAGATCCCATGTTTGATGTTGATGTTATATTGGCTTCATCGGCCGCTGCAGGAGGACAGCAACAACAACAACAGCAAGCCGCTAATTTGTCTTCATCCTCTAATTCAACCACTACCACAGCTTCTACAGCTCGTACCACAGCCACAGACGTTCTAGAAAAGGCTCGTGATCGTTTTGATCGTTTTTGGGGCGGTAACACTAGCAAAGAGGAAAGTGTTTAAGTCAATAGATTTTTATTAAAACACAAAATAAAACTAAATATTTAACAAGAAAAAAAAAAACAATTTAAAAATAATGGCTTTTAAATTTTATACTTGAACCTTAAATACTAGAAAAAGAAAAACTTAAAGCAAATATTTAAGTAAAAAATTAACAAAAATTACAAAAATAAAAAAAATAACATTTTTTTGCAGTTAAGAAATTTACCAAATAATCCCCCCCACACAAATATTGAACAACATTTAGGTTGGTATATACATATAAATTGCCTAAAATATTTAAAATTCTCTTTTCAAAGTAATTATATATTTTTTCCTTTTTATTTCTTGATCACACAAGAGTTCAGCAAACGACTAACATTAAAATTGTTTAAAGCATAGCTTTATAGTTTAAAGCAAATGGAGTACTTACACACTCTCAACATTAACACTTACTTACACTTTCAATTAAATGTGTTACACTACTAAATAATGCTCAGCAAAAGATATTTATAGAAAAAAGAGCAACTAAGCTTTGAGTAAGACAAAATAAACAATTAAGCTTTTTCTTAATGTGAGTAATACAACTACCACACAGCAAAAAAACAAACATACGAGTTCATACATTTCATTACAACCGCCACAACAATAACAACAACAAGAAAAAACCAAAGACACGAAGACCCGTCCAAAAAAAATTATTAATAAAAAAAAAAAAAAAAAAAAAACAAAAACAATAAAAAAAATAAACTTAAAAACTCAAAAATGAAATTAAAAACATAAATTAAACAAATTTAGGCCATTTTATTAATCAGGCGCATAGAAATTTCCGTCATTAAAAAGAAATTTTACATACATTAACAAAAAACCAAAATTAATTCTCGTATGTGTAAAACAATTTTCAGAGGGTATTTAATATTAATAGACAAAACAAAAAAAAAAAAAAATTTAATATTAATCGTAAGAATATTATTAATAAAATAAAAACATTTCTTAATTTCATACATATTTTGCCTTTTTCATAAGTGATTAAATTATATTTGCTATTTCTGTTAAAAAAAAAAAAAAAAAACATTTTGTTAAAATTCTCAAGTGCTTAATTAAATGTTTAACACAAATTGTTAAAATTAAACAAATAATTTTAGTTAGTTTCTGAAAGAAAACAAAATCTTGAAAGTATTGAAAATTAATTTTTTAAGCTTAAACCCAAAACAACTCCTATTTCAACAAAATGACAAGTAAAAGAAAAGTATTATTATTGGATTATGATTAATAAGATCGTAAGAAAAACCCAAAACAACAAACAACTAAACTAACACTGCAAAACAAGTCATTATAATTAAATTTAAAATATAAAACAATGCATGTTAAATTGATATTATTATATACTTATTATAAAAACCCAGAAAAAAGAAAACCAAACTTATATTTACATTTATATTTATATATTATTATAAAAAAAATCGAGTAAAACAAAAGCTTGCATTAAATGTGTTTTGTTTAAGATATTGTTAAGCTTTTTTTTTAATTTTCTTTATAAGCACAGTGTAGGGAGAGAACATTTATAAAAGTGAGTTTTGCCAATTTTAGCATACTTTAGGGAGCGGCATATTTTAAGGGTAAAATTTTTTAATTATAACTTTTCAGTTACAAAGTTTCAGTAAGAATGGAACTTGTTTTATAACAAGTCTAAGGATGATTTGTTCTTCTAAATATTATACGGACTAGTACTTATCTTATTGATAAACTATTTGATTTCAATTGATTAGCTTGGGAAGTAGTACCAATAATATTGCCAGTGATTTCCTCCTTGACAGACGGAAGTATGAGGAACTACTTAATATTACCATTATGGCAATCAGGTCAATTCTGAGGAAATATACAATACTACTGTTATAGAAGTCTGGTCAAAACTATAACAAGCTTGTGAACACAATTATATCATAGAGATATCTAATTGCTAGTCTTTGGACTACATAGTTTATTGACTAGTCTTGTATTTTACAGACTAGTGTCTATTGGCATATGAATTGATTTCTATTGATTACATTAGAAAGTAGTGCATTCTTTAGTCCATATAGAGCTCTAGTATTATACATAAATCAATTAATCAATCAATTAATATGTCTATGGACATATTAATTGATTTTTCTTGATTAGCTTAGAAAGTGGTGCATTCTTTATTCCATATAGAGCTTTAATAGCTAGTCTCCGGAATAGTTTATTGACTAGTCTCTGGACTAGTCTATTTATTTGTCTCTAGATTAGTCTATTGACTTGTCTGCGGACTAGTCTATTGATTTGACTCTAGATTAGTCTATTGACTAGTCCCTGGATTATTCTCAGAACTCGTCTCTGGGCTAGTCTTTGGGCTAGTCAAATGACTATTATATTGGCTCTTGATTAGTCTATTGACTTGTCTGTGGACTAGTCTATAGATTTGACTCTATATTAGTCTATTGAACAGTCCCTGAACTAGTTTCTTGGCTAGTCTTTGGGCTAGTCAAATGACTATTATATTGACTAGTCCCTGGACTAGTATATTTAATAGTCTAATTACTGGTATATTGGCTAGTATAATAACTAGTCAATAGTCTAATGACTTGTCTATAAAGTATAATGACTAGTCTATAGGTTAGTCTTATGACTAGTCTATTGACTAGCCTTACGACTAATCTATTGATTAGCCTAATGACTAGTCTATTGACTAGTCTAATCTCTAGTCTCTTGACTAGTCTAATGGCTGGTCTATTGACTAGTCTATGGAGTAGACTAGTATCTGGTCTAGTTTCTAGTCTCGACTAGTCTATTGATTAGCCTAATGACTAGTCTATGGAGTAGACCTATATCTGGGCTAGTGAAATGACTATTATATTGACTAGTCCATGCACTAGTATATTTGATGGTCTAATTACTTGCCTATTGGCTAGTAGCTAGTTAGTTCGGAGATTAGTCAATAGTCTAATGATTTGTCTATAAAGTATTATGACTAGTCTATAGGTTAGTCTTACGACTAGTCTATTGATTAGCCTTACGACTAGTCAATTGGCTAGTCTAATGACAAGTCTAATGGCTGGTCTATTGACTACTCTATGGAGCAGTCTAATTAATAGTCTAGATACTATTCTATTGACTGAGCATATTAAACTATTGACCTATCTATAACAATTTCATGACTTTTCTATGGCAAAATCATTTGACTTATCTATGGAATAATTTTTAAATCATTCTAACTACTATATATTTCAATAAATTAATACTAATCTCTTGACAAGTATGTGCAATCCTTAGTTACCTACCCCCGAAAACAGTTACTTTATTACCTACCTGGAGTCTCTCAGACTCCAGGAGAACTTTATCAAGAGCTAGTTTAAGCATCTGTATTAGTGATGAACACAAACATTATAGTATAGGCGGAGTTACAAAAGTAACCCAACAGAAAAGGTGATTATAGGAAAAGTTATAGCCAAAAATAGTTCTGCTGAAGTCTGAGAGACTCCAAGTAGGATATGTGTTATTCCATTGACCAGGCTTAAGAACAAGTCCATGAATTATTTTATTAATTAGTCAATGGACTAGTCTAAACTCGAGTATGTGGACTAGACATTTGATTAGAGTAGGGACTACAATACTGTCTAGTCTTTGGGCATAACTATTGTCAACAGTATGAAATACTCTAGTTTATGAACTAGTCCATGGACTAATCCAATTTCTGAACGATGCAGTAGTCTATTTTCTAGTCTATTAACTAGTTTATTGACTAAACCACCGACTTGTCTGAAAAGTAATAGAAACAAACATACTGAATAATCAATGGACTTGTTCTCTGCTTCTTCACCAAAACAAATAAAACTATGGTAGTATGTGTTTGGGCACCGCTGGTTTACAATGATCTTGTCTAGTGACTAATCTTTTATATATGTATTCCATCAACTTGTCGACAAAGGTTTATAATATTAAAAAGTATTTAATATGTGATCAGCGTTCTAAAAAATGCAGTAGTTCTTTATTTTTTATCACTGCTTTATGAACTAACATATGCGTATGATTGTTAATTATTGTCAAAAAGTTCTAAAAAATGCAGTAGTTCTTTATTTTTTATCACTGCTTTATGAACTAACATATGCGTATGATTGCTAATTATAAAGTGCTTTTTCATAAAGTATACGCCCCGTATTTAAAAAATATTAACATTTTTCAACATCCTTAAGGTATGCAATGCTTAATTAACTAACATACAGTGAAATAAACAAACCGTGGGCGTATGATGAATATTTATATATGAACAACCGGAAATAAAGTATACGCAACATATGTTGATGTTTTAAGAAATTCTGTATAAAATAAAAAAAAATCAACGAATTTTAATTTCTTTTATGAAATTAAGTAAAAAAAACTTTACTTAATGTTGATGTTTTTTTATTCTTTTCTTTTTAATAAATTTCTCTTCCCTGCACTGCGTTATTGTTAGCCACTGTTTTAATTTTTATTAACTTTACATTAAACACAAAATAAATAATTATAAAAAACAACAAATATTATGTGTCTTTAAAGCAAAAATCAAATACTTATTAATTTCTTTATAAAATAAAATGTAAAACAAATATTTAACAAAGAATAAGTTGCCCAGCATCATGTTGACAAATTGATTTAAATTTTTAAACAACAAAAAAATAAAACAAGTTGAGTTTATTATAACAAAAAGAAACATACAACAAATTTATTATTAATTATTTAAAAAAAAAATAAAACAAATTTAAAAAAATAAATAAATATAAATGTTTAGCCTTCTTAATCAAATTAATAAAAAAAAAAAAACGAAAAAAGTAAATAAAACTATATATACTCTCTGAATTATATAAACTTAAACATAAGACACTACTTTAACAAATAAAACAAAATTATGAAACTACACTTATTGACATAAAACACCAAAAACCATAAAAACAATATTATGAAAGAAAAATCAACAAAATTCCATAAAGAAAAATTCCTTCCCTTCTTCAGTAAAAAAAAGATTAAAAACTAAAGACAAAACAATAACAAAAATAGTTAGTAATTAAATAATAGTAATAAATTATAATAAACCTCATATTTAAACAAACAAAAAATACGTGTAATAAATTACAACTTAAATAACAAGCACATATTCAGAAAATCTCTTCAATAACAGTGAGAATCCTTAAGTAATTTTATGGTTTTAGAAAGGTTTTTCGAGGGTTTTCTTAGTTTTAGAAATTTTTTATTTTAGGAAAATTTTCGAACAATTTTTTGCTTTTGGAAAATATTTGATATTTTTTTTGCTTTTAGAAAATTTTCTATAATTTTTTTTTTTAGAAAATCTTCTTTAAGTTTCATATTTTAAAAATTTTCTACATTTAAAAAATTTTTCACAAATTTTCTCTTTTTAGAAAATTGTTCGTAAGTTTTCAGGTTTTTTAAAATTTTTCATAAATTTTCTATTTTTTTCAAAACGAGTACGAGCAACATCTTGTGCTTTTGGCATTCTAAAAGTATGCAACAGTTAATCTCTAATTCTACTACAAATTTTGCGTTCACCAGACGTATGAAAATTAAGAAATTAAGAAAATTCATTATAATAATGAAAACTCTTGTTTCTTTTACCATAAAATTACAAAATTTTAACACTTATCAGTAAAAAAAACTCTAAACTAACCACTAACCCTTATTCTTCTTAAAAAAGAACTCCATCTAGTAACACAAAACATTATTTTTTAGGTTTTAATAAAACAAAAAAATCGAAATTAATAGGAATTTAATAAATTGTCATAAAGAAAAAAAAAACAAAACTCTTTTAGCTTGGTAAACTGATAAAATCTAAGTAAATTAAATAAACAAAAAACAAGAAATCCTTTAAAACAATTAGTAATTACCACAAGCTTAAAATTAAAACTAAAAAACCAAAACAAAATTTAAATAAAAAAAATTCCGTAAAATAAAGAAAAATCTTAAAAACAAAACAATTTTAATACTTTATAGTGAGTAAGCAACACTGTCTTTTGATTAAATACTAAAAAAAACCAACAAAAGGAAAACAGAAAACCAATATATAATGTGAATTTAATTAAATAAATAGTGAGCTTTTTTTAAAAACCCAAAAAATTAAAAAAAAAAATAAAGAAAATCAACAACAACAAGAAAAATCCATACACTCCTTACAAAAAAAAAAACATCAAATAACAAATGAAAAACAATATTAAAGCAAAGAATTCAAAAGAATCAAATACCTTTTTAACAACCAGGTAGTTATTAAAAAAAACATAAAAGATAAATAAGAAAAATCACTAGATAAAAACTTCAAGTGAAAACTTAATTAATAAACAAAAAATGAAAATCGAGTAATAAATATTACAAAAATAAAAAAAGAAACCAACAACAACAAAAAAAAAAAACGATCAATAAAAAATATATATTTAAATAAAGAAATGCATATAAACGTTTCAATAAATATTCGAAAAAGTTGTTTTTATTTATAGGAATTTGTTAGGCGGACAAAGTATATATGACATTTATAAACATTAGGTAGGCCCCAAAATGGAAGTTGCTGATGTTCCCACCGAAAATGAAAATTTAGTTCATTCTAAGATACCATTTCTCAAAATTTTTGTCCTGACGTCAATATTTAATGAGCTGGATCAAGGGATAAAAAGGTTTTGCAAATTAACCATATGGGCATTTCCATCGTGACGAACGTGACGGTCGTACGTTTTAAAGAGATGAAAATTATACATATATATTTTTTAAAAATTCTTGTATTTTTATATAGGGCTTCGATAGCTCTATAACTGGTCGGAAGAAGAAATTGAAAGATCTTAATGGCCCTAAGATATAAGTAGTTAAAGTGCGTGACGTGATGTGACAGAAATAGAAGTTGCTTATTTCTTTTTTGACAAAAATGTAAAAATCTGCGAGTTTCACCTGGCTATTTGGTTAAAACTTTTTTATTGTAATTTGGAATATTTATTGATTGTTTTTCAGCTTTTAGAACTAAAAAATTGTTTTCGGATTTTTTTGTACAAGCCGTTATGTGTGACGTGACATGACGTGATGTGACAAAAATTTCCAATGATGAAATTTGCAATATTATTGTAAATTAATTAGTCCATAGATTTATTTTGGACGGACATTGTTGAAAGTTTTTAGAATCGGATAAATATTTCGACTATTTAATAACATTTTAGTTGAAAATAGCTCCCGTATATGAATAATATAAGAATTAACATTAATTAACATAAAACTTTTAAAAATGCTTATATCACCATAAAATTCAACACAAATAATTTTGACATACACAAAAATCGTTCATCCTATTTTTTTTTTTTAATTGGTCCATGATTAGGTATAGCTTCCATACAAAGCCCACATATGATATACCCATAAACTTGGATATATAACTAAAATTTCGCCATCCTGATAATACAAACACACTAAAAACTTTAAAATGTACAACTACTGACCCTTCTGATGATAATAAAATAATCGGTCATAACGTCCATATAAAGCCGATATCCGAAAATCACTTTTTTCCATACATTTTTTAAAAATATCATTTGTTGAATTTCTGTGCTTTTTCTTCCACTTATCAACTAAAAAATCATAACTATCACCTAATTGAATAAATTGCATAAATATCACATCTTTTTAAATAACAATATTTCACAATTCGAAGGTTGCTCTTGAGAAAATTTATGTAATGTGACGTGACGTGACAGACTTTGAAATTCTATAAAAAATAACCCCGCTTAGAATTATTTTTTTTCTTTTAAATTGAGTTCTATATACTAAACTTGATTTAGATTCAAAGTTTTGAATACTTCTGAATGCCAACTAAAAAGTTATCGGGATAAATCCTGTTTCAACGTGACGAACGTGACATTTAAAAGTCTATGAAAGAAACCCGAAAATTTGCCTTTTAAAGGTCTTTATCTTTTTATATTTGTATGTTTTAAGATAACTATTATTCCAACAAATATTTTCCGATAAAAGTCCATTTAAATATTAGCCTTTAAAATAATAAAAACTATTAAAAGCAAATGCTAGTAAAGTTGCAAAAATATGCCTGAAATATTATTGTAACTTTTAATTTCGATTTCTCATCATAGTGGTTAAGAAAAGCTTTGGGGTCTTTAATTTAATAAAATTTTAATCTTTTTCTATAATAATAGAAGTTGAAATTTTATTTTTGATGACTTTTAGTTTTTGAGCCACGGTGGACTTTTCGGTGGAAATGCCCATATGCAAATTTAGTTTCATATGAAAAGTCTTTGGTGAAGTGGATTTCAATGACATAACACAATTTTGTATACAACTCCAAAATTATTGCAAATGTCGCTTTATTTATCTAATATTTATTGATCTATAAGCGTAATTTTATTAGTTTTAAATTGGTATACTTATAACACTTTATGGTTTCATACTATTATAGATCAAATTTTACAGTTTAACTAAAATATGAATACAATTATCCTAATCATCTACTTTGTTAGCAACGGTAAAAATTAGAAAATTTCGATTACTTTTGCTATTACACAAAAATGTCTGATATGGAATTTAATGCGTCTCTCAAGGACCTTTCAAATTATACCAATATTTCATATCTTTCCTTTGGAAGAAATATGGAAAAAATCATAAACCTTTGATCCAGCTCACTAAATATTGGCGCAGGACAAACATTTTGTGAAATGGTTCTTCCCAGCAAAAACTTTGTATTTGCTTTCCATTGTAATTGCTTACATAACAACATACTTTTCAAAGACTACTACATATGGTCTGGATTACATAGAAGTAGTCTAATAAGGTCTTACTAATAATGTATTATATAAATACTTTCTAATTCATTAGTCATCTTGCCAGTGAAGATTTAGATGCTGTATACGCTCTTTATACTTTCCACCACCATCAGTGGTGACAGAGGGTATATATAACTTTGTCATTCCATGTGTAACACCAAGAAATATTCATCTGAGACCCAACAAAGTATATATATTCTGGGTCCTTATCAAATTCTGAGTCGATTTAGGTATGTCCGTCTGTCTGTGTAAAACACGCTCACGATAAAACGAAGCAATAGAATTTAACCAAATTCACCCGAAATATTCTTCATTTTCCTAAGTTGTTTGGTATTGAAAATGAGCAAATTCGGGAAAAGTTATGAATCAAAATTTAAAACAACCTCGAAAAAATAAGCATTTTTTACACATTCTGATAGCTTGATTTCTGCTGAAAACTGTCAGAATCGATCCACAATTTCATATATCCCCCATACAAAAGTACATATTTCCGGAAAATGGGTTTTTTGTTAATAACTTCCGTCAGAATGTCGGTATCTTCACAAAATTTTACAAATTAAAATCTTATGTCTATAGAACTCATTCAGAGAAAAAATTTTCTGGATCGGTCCATAATTGGACAAAGCTCCCATACAAGGTCCCCTCCCGAAAATCACTTAAACGCACATAATTCATTACTAAATTAAGATATCCATAACAAATTTGGTACAAGTATTACTATCCCATACAGAAATAGTACTATGAAATTTTTTCCGATCGGTTCATAATTGGTCATAGCTCCCATACAAGGTCCCCTCCCTAAAATCACTTAAAACCACATAACTCATTAGTAAATGAAGATATCCATATAAAGTTTGGCACAAGTATTGCTCATATACAGAGAAATATTACTGTGAAATTGTTTTCCTAAATATTACTATGAAAGTTTTTCGGATCGGTCCATAATTGGTCATAGCTCCCATACAAGGACCCCTCCCGAAAATCACTTAAACGCACATAACTCATTACTAAATTAAGATATCCATATAAAGTTTGGCACAAGTATTGCTCATATACAGAGAAATATTACTGTGAAATTGTTTTCCTATCGGTCCATAATTGATCATAGCTCCCATATAATTACTCATTTGGCACGAATATTAGTTTTATATACAAAAATTCTATTTCAAGATTTTTTCACGATCGGTTCATAACATGGGTGCGGTCGGTCCCATACAAGGTTCCCTTCAGATACAAAATTTGACTGAAATATAGCTTTTATGTACAAAAATTTAGCTTAAAGAATTTTTTACGATCGGTCTGTAATTGGTCATATCTCTCATACTAGGTCCTGCCCTTAAACTCGTATTTAACTAGATGCATTATCAATTTGTGTAGAACAAAATTATATATATATGTATTTTGAAAATCCTTAAATCTTTCACACAAATGCATACATGCAAATTACTAAATATCGCTAAAGCATATAAAAATATAAAAGAAAATGGCGTTTGTAATGTTCAATAAATCTTGGAATTGTAATAGATTTAAGCCGTTTAAATCTTGGGATTTTTCTATTTAAGACAGGAGAAAACTTATTTCTACAAATATTTGATCAATTAGAAAAGTATTTATTTAAAAGTAGGTGGTGGAGGGTATTTAAGATTCGGCTCAACCGAATATAGCACTCTAACTTGTTTGATTTTCAATGACTACATTTTCTAATAACTTGTAATCGTTTGTGGTAAGCACTTGCCTCCAATGACATCACCGCGTTAAAATAATGACTTAAAATTCTATTGCATAAGTAAATTTTAGCATTTTAACCCCTTACGTGGCAATGAAAGTTTTTAGTTGGTTAGAATCAATTAAACTTTAATTTTAGTTGGGAACATTGGCACCTTATTTTTCCTTCATATAAACGGGGCCACCCTAATATACATACTAACATCATTATACCATTTAGTTTGTATGTGTTATGGGACCTTGCAAATTACCTAGGTTTTTTAACTATGTATGTATATGTTTGTCCGTCTTTGTTGGCGAAATCGCAGGGACAAGAGAAATGACATTTTTCTGAAATATTCTATGTTGAAACAAAATATTTGGTTTGGAAGATATATTTTGTCTATAACTTAAATTTAACATTTGTAGTTTTAGCTGCCCTTATCGTAATTAAATAAAATAAACATAATCCATACTGCAGAAGGAAACTTCAATCAAGATGCTGCATGTTTAATTTATGTTTTTAGGTTCCATTTATATATATAAATAAAAAAATTAATATGTGTTTGTGTTTGTTTGGAGTTTATAGACAGCTAAACGGATGGACCGATTTTTCACAGTGTCTTCCTGCATATCTGGAAAGATCATCCACTTGAAATTTTGAAGTAAAAGTAGCC